AGTATAAAACCATATAGATTAATTATCCGCGGTTTTGCTGTATTTCATGATAAAAGCTTGCAGTGAAAATACTCTTTTTCTACAGATGTAAAATATGGTTTAGATGTTATGTTGTAATAATGTTATATGGAACTACATTGGCAGTGTGTATGTAATTTGTAAAATGCATATGTATATTTAAAGGATGTATTAAAGATAAACATCTTAGTCAAACAGTTTTGTCAGATTTTTTTGTGTATGCCTACAGCCTCACCTGCTGGATGTTATTAGAATTGTTTGCTATTCTCATGCATTTATTTTTTCTCCACTGTATCCCTCTTTGTCCACTTTTCTCCTGTATTTCATATATTCCCCCTTCTCTTTCTGCCTGTCTCTACAGAATATGCCAGAACACAACAATGAGCTCCAACATCACAGACCCTGGTCTCCTCTTGACTGCCCACCCATCACCACGAGTGGCCGGAGCCTATTCTCAATCCAGTACACTTCATCGTGGAGAGATTGAAGGAGTCTCGTGGATGGTGATTGATGAGAATTCCTCTTTCACCAACAAACCGCTTAACATCACTCATCAAGCAGGGAATGAAACAGCAGCCCTTGACCCTCTTGGTGGCCACCCTGTGTGGCAAGTTGTCCTCATTGTTTTACTGACTGGCACCCTGTCACTGGTCACCATCATTGGCAACATATTGGTAGTGGTGTCTTTCAAGGTTAATCGGCAGCTGAAGACAGTCAACAACTATTTCCTATTGAGCTTGGCTGTAGCTGACCTTATTATAGGAGTAATCTCCATGAATCTCTACACAGTTTACCTTATAATGGGTTACTGGGCCCTTGGCACCTGGGCCTGTGACCTTTGGCTGACAGTTGACTATGTTGCAAGCAATGCATCCGTTATGAATCTTCTGGTTATTAGCTTTGACCGCTACTTTTCAATAACCAGACCTTTGACTTACCGTGCCAAACGGACCACGAAGAGGGCTGGAATCATGATTGGCCTAGCCTGGCTTGTATCACTTGTTCTGTGGGCCCCTGCCATACTTCTGTGGCAATATTTTGTTGGTAAAAGGACAGTACCCTACAATCAGTGCTATATCCAGTTCCTCACAGAGCCGATTACAACCTTCTGCACAGCAGTGGCGGCTTTCTACCTGCCTGTAACAATAATGAGTATCCTCTACTGGCGTATCTATAAGGAAACACAGAACCGCTCAAAAGAGTTAGCTGGGCTTCAAGGTTCAGAATGTCGTGGGGGGATACGAGGAAGGGCCAGAAATAATAAAAGGGGTGAGAAAGCTAATTTTGTACATCAGACTGGAAGTTCTAGGAGCTGTGGTAGCTATGAGTTGAACAGATTGCCTAAGAAAAAAAGTACATGTCAGAGGCTGGTTGGGCGATTCCACTGCTGGCCAGGGGTTCGGTCATGGAGACCTGGTAGTATCCGGCAGGGGGATCGTGATCCAGACCAGAGCAGCAGTGACAGCTGGAACAACAATGATGCAGCAGCCTCATTGGACCATTCTGGTTCCTCAGAGGATGAGGACTGTGGGGGAAGAGAGATGATTTCTCAAAGTCATGCTATTTTTTCTATTGTCCTCAGCCTTCCTGGCATTAAAGCTGCCGTCAACTCTCAGCTTACATCATGTGAGGATCTGGATGTAGCCTCAGAAGAGGACCCACTAAGGGGAGCTGAATTCAGCCAAGAGAGCTTGTCAACAGTTACCACGAATGCCACAGAAATTTCACCCGAGGGAACAAACAATACAGGAAATAGCTATCACCAACGTTTCAGCTCACGCAAAACACAGTCAATGTCCACCATTCAAGCAAAGTCTAGCCAAGGGTTTCTGGATGGCACTGAATCAACAACTACAATTGATAGGTCTGCCACCTGCACAGCCACAAAGTCCTCCTCTGTCCCACTGTCTTTCAAAGAAGCCACAATGGCAAAGCGCTTTGCCATGCGAACCCGTACTCAGATCACCAAGAGGAAACGAATGTCTTTAGTGAAGGAGAAGAAGGCTGCTCAAACACTCAGTGCCATCTTGCTTGCTTTTATAATTACCTGGACACCATACAACATCATGGTGCTTATCACAGCATTTTGTAAAGTTTGCATCCCAGAGACCCTGTGGGCAGTAGGGTATTGGCTGTGCTACGTTAACAGCACAGTCAACCCCATGTGCTACGCTCTGTGCAACAAGACTTTCCGAACAACCTTTAAGATGATACTGCTGTGCCACTGGGACCAGAAGAAAAGGCGGAAGCAAGAGTTTCAACAGAGGCAATCAGTGGTCTTCCACCGAGGCATTCCCAGAGAGTCTACGTAAAATGACTATATATACAGTCATTTGTTGACATAATTTTCAATGCTGAAGACAGGACAATGGAAATAAAGGTTACACTGGCCTAAAAAACCCAACATGTCCTTGTCTGCTGTTATGCTAAAATACAGCAACAACACATAATGGTCTTGTGGTATGTGTTTATGTCAGAGCATCTATGTACTTTGGCAAATGGGTACACTTGGGACGGTATTTCCCTGTGGTGAAGTCTAAAGCTGAATGCTTTGTCTTTCTCCTAAAATAATTCTTTACCATTTAATGCAAGTGTTGCTGGGAGAAGAGGACAAGGAAAATATTGAAAAGGGCTTTTAAAATGCATTGCAGGAGAAACATGAAAGTGCTGTTGACAAATGGTAAGCATGTCTATGTTACCCAGGGGGATTTACATTTCTTACCACCGCTGAGGGTAGTTAGGTTTGTATTGTAGAGTTGTTTTACATTTTAAACTAGACTGTTTATATATATGTTCCTGAGAGCCAATATAAAGAGGAGACTTATGTTCACTGGTGTCTACATTTTACTAGTTTGCAGTGACTTCTTGACTGGCATGTATTTTTAGCAGAACTTTTGTGGAATATCTTTCTACATCAGTATAGCTTTCCTGTTTATGATGGAATATATAAATAAAAAAAAAATATCCTACAATATGTCCTTACTCTTACTCATCAGACAACTGTTATTTTGTGATTTTCATCATTGGTTTTCTATGTACTCCAGGGATTTCGAGCCAGTTTGAAAATTATACATTTGATGAAGTGAACTGTGAATATTCTGTGTGGAACTACAGTCAGTGAACTGCTGCTCTGTTTAATGTGATTGTTGTGGTTTTCTATGGTGAACACAATAAGTGCATTGGTTGTGTTTTTCTATGCTTGCAGTTTCCTGTCAAAAGTGATGACTGTACATTGCTGAAAAGGTTCTGTGTACATTTCTGATCTGGTATGCGAAGACTGATTGCACACACAGATATACATTTTTCAGGAAACGTTTGGTTGTCTGCCATGGTTTCTCACTTAAAATTTCTCGATGTCAAAGGAACAGCTGCGCCCTCTGGAGGCATTTTAACTCTTACACATTTATGGTCAGGATTCTCAATCAAAACAGCCACATTTCCAAGCTTTATGTATTTTTTTTACATTGTAATGGAAATGCCATAAACATTCAACTATCAGTGATTTGTCTTTCTTTTGTGCAGTTCTTTAAATTTGTTATAAAGCCACGCCATATATGATTTGTATATAAAGTCAAAAGCTTCGTATAAGACACAACTAGCAAAGAACACAGAATAAAATAATTCCTAATGTATTTTAAAAAGAAATTTGCTGGCTTTTTTTTGTAATGCACATTAGGTTTTTTATCTTAAGGTAATGTTTTGCCAAAAAAATAGAAAATGTGCAAAATATATTAAAGGCAAAAGATGATCTGTAGTGCAACAGCTGTCAAATGAAGAAAATAAATGAATATGGTAAATTTATTGTTCACCCTATTGTTTTTGAATTATGTACAAATTGGATGTCAAAATAAAAAAATATATCTCTGGCAACAGTTGTTATTTTAGCCTGCTTTGAACATATTTTGCTTCATTGAAATCATACAAGAAAATCTTTTTTTCTCTTGAATTTATTTATGTTTAGGTATGCCAATCATATATATTTTAAGAAAATAAAGAACATTTTTGTGTTTATTTTTGTTGAGTGATGTTAATTGATATTTTAGTTTTGCTTTTTCCCTGATGTGAGTATTGTTAATTATCACTGATATACTTCTACTTGACAGCGTGACTTTATCAATGTTACAATTTCAGAAGCTTGAAAGTTTGTCTACTCCTTTCATAATTGAGTGCATAGCAAACTCCTTCCAGAAGTCTTGTTTCTATAATTTTTTTAAGTAATCATGATGTGCCTCTCAATTTTTTTCAAAGCACCAATTTTAAATAATGTAAATTAATCAATATGTCCAAGACCTATCAACAGCTAAATGAATTATTAGAAGTGGTACTTTTTCCATATAAGGCATTAACTCATGTCTTTTTCTCATGAAGGTTTCATATCAGAGCGAAGGGAAAACACTTTTAATTTTTCAAAAACACAGCTCTAAAAATCATAAAATCTATCTTGAGAAAATGTTTGAGAAAATCAAATAGTTTTACTGGTAATTTAAGTAGTTTGTTTTATTTAACCCAAACAGTAAAACTACAAATTGAAATAAAAAAAATACTGTTTGTTTCTTTTTCCCATGTTTGTGTTTGAGCTTTAGGGTGTATTTTAACTACCGATTTTGCTGCTTATGTCAGCAAGTTGCACTAAAAGTACACAGCTGAAGCTTGTTAGATAAATGAAAAGAGCCTTTAAAATGGGCAACAATCAACAAGAGTTGGAAAAATAAAATGAGTTGTGATTGTCCTGTAAGGGGAAATCCTTTGTTTCATGTATTTCCTACTACGCTCTTCAACGCCCCAATTCCTGTACTAAATGTTCACTGACTAAACATTACAGTTGTCTTTGCATTTTAAACACTTTTTCATGGCTCCATGTTGAAGCCTTATCAAATTAGTGAAGAGAGTCTTTTCTAAATGGGAGATGGATGGCTATGCAGTTTAAGCATGTGATGAGGAAAAAAATACCAACTTCATGTGACCCATTACGAAGGAGCGGCCCAGAGACGAAGACAGACATCCATTTGTGTTTTCTTCAGTCAGCACTAAACTAGAAACCAGGATCCAGCATTAAGGCAAGTATACCACAGTTTGTCATATTGAAAAATCTATAAAAGATGCAGATTTTACTAAACTGTCCAATATTAAGGTTGATATTGTAACTTTCTACTCTAAAAGGAAAAGTTTTCCTTGCTTGTATGATAAAGGAATATAATAGGTTGCATGAACTGACATCCCCGGTTATAGCTTCCTACCAGAAGAGATAAAAACTTGATATTTTATTTGCTAGGCCAATAATTTACAATTTATATGCTTGAAGGTATTTACAATTGAGGTTTTTAAGGCAACAGCTGTTGTTAAACACCAGTTTAAGATAATTTATTTCATTGTATCTATTTTTAAGAACTTTGTTTGCTATTATATATGGTAGCGACAGTTTGATTTGCATTTGCCATTAACTCTTGACTATTCCTTTTGTTTTCTCGTTATCAAAAGGTTGTAAGATTTCTTTGAGAAACAAAGTTAAAACTGTCAAATTTGGGATGGAATTTATCTTTTAAACTGAGGAAGATTGTTCCAAGTTAAGGAATAGATCAGCAAAGCTCAGGCGTTTGCAAATGTGCAATAGAACAATAACATTTACAAATATATAAAGTTATGTGATTTGCATTTGTGATTTAATCAGGAGACTATTAAGGCCATTAGATTCAGAAACTTAGTCATATACTATATGTTGTGATATGTAGGGGGAAAGCATACATCACTGATAGTTTTGTGCTGACATTTCGACAGATGACCAGATTAGGGATTTTGTTTTCATATATTGGCAAGTAAATGAGGCTAATTAAATGTAAATTCAGTTCTTGCTCTCTGTTTAAGAGAAACTCCTCCCATACTGCCCCCTCATTACAGCAAACAGGCAATCTGCCAGATGACTAACAAGGAATGCACCCACTGTCTGAAGGGTATTGTTTAAACAACCTTGCAGAGACAACTTCAAGTCACAACCTTGTGGTTCCTGAGAATGACCATTTCGCTCACAGGTTGCAACTAAATGATGATAATGAAACAAAATAACAGTTTCTTACATATAGTCAGAAGAAACTAAAATTCCATAATCTATGAAGTCGTTAAAATCACTGATGTCAATGTCAGTGGATAAGTGTGCCAAAGTAACCAAATGGATGCATGAAAAAGTGATGAGGTTTAGAAATGACTAATACTACTTTTGTGAAATATGAAATCCTTTAATTTATCATCTCAGTCTTGTGAGGGCAGCTTTGTTTTAAGGTCAGTGTCCTGCAAGATCAAGCTTAATTCCAAAGGAGTCAAAAGGTGGAAATATTTTCTAAGCCTATCGTCAAGTGTTACTGTACACATATGTATTAAATCAGTTGTTTTGAAGAAGAGTAATGCTTAAAATTAGTAGCTGGCTAACAGAACAACACATCAGGTAGCCAAGGTTTGGTTTCCTTATGAGCGTCTGCTCCTACCCAGATGTACCTGCATGTTTGAAAATCCAATTAGTGTATGCAGTTTGTACAAAAAAGAAAAATGTTATAGGGATCAAGAGGAAATGTTGGGTTTAATGCTAAATAAAGTTGGTGGATGTTTGCAGAGGGATTAAAACATCAGTATTAGTTTAGAAGTTTGAAAATGGCCAATTGACATTATTCTCTATAAAGTAATGATTACAGATTACTCTCGTGTGATCTTTGAATGAACCCATCTACCAAACAGAAACCCAAAACCATAATTTTGCATCTTCCACATCATTTCTACCCTGTGAAATATAGCTTTTAAGACATGCATCCAAGCACTTGAAGATCTTGGATTTTGGCCATTTTAGATTGCAAAAATATTTTCCAATAGTGAATGGCTCCATTCATACCTGGCACTAGCATGCATCTTTGCAATATCTCTACTGTATATTAGCAGGTGTAAAAGTACTCGAATCCCAATTCTTACTGCCTTAACCTGCATCAGTATGGCAGTCTGAAAACAATGCATTGAAGGACACATGGAGGAACCATCCTCTGAAACTAACAACCTGCTGCTCTTTTGAAGTAGCTAGTTAACTTTAAGGTTATTAAAAAAAAAATTGTAAGAACAATCAAGGAAAATGGTGCTGTTTACTAAGGCTATTTTATCACTGTAGGTATTATTGTTCAACACAGTTTTTTGTGTGTGTTTTTTTCTGTTACCTTTAAAATGTTGACCATATCTCACTCTGGTATGAACTGTTTGCGGCTCCAAACTTACCCTCATCTGCATAATAAAGAGTGTCATCACATGCAGCGCAACAGTAATGGAGAAAAAGAGGTGCAATGGCTTAACTGCACAGCAGAAGCACTTTATTTTGTCAGCAAGTGCTAGGTGGGAAAAATCTGAAGAAAATAGAGAGTAACTCTTTATTGTGGTGTTTTCTCAAACAGACTTTAAATTCCACCCAGATTGATTAAGACTTTTAGAACTCAGTGTTTTAGCCTATATTGAAATCTCACAAGAAAAAGACACATGGGAAGAAATTGACAGCTGTTGGAGTACTTTATAGTTTCAAGCCTAAGTCAGTGACCTACAGTATAGGGTAGAACTATAGGCTCTAGAGTATCTTAAGTATCTTTTTCAGGTGAGGTCTTTCCCTTTTATTTGAAAATTTCTTTGATTCTCCAATCAAGGATTGTTCTGCATGTTGTCTACAGCTAATACTTAGCATTACATCCTACTTATTCATGATAAGGAGATAAACTGTGAGCCCAGTGTGTAGCCCATATGTGATCATGCTAAGGAGTGCTAGGGAGTTAATAAACTAAAAAAAAAACAGGGTTTTTTGCACCAAAGGTGTAGTATTCAACCTGATCCCCAAGTAGTTAGTTAGTTAGTCAATAAGACCATATTCCATTGAGGCAAATTAACCATGACAAAGAAATACTATAGCTATTTAGATACATGCCTAGTTATTTCAATAGGCTCTTACTGTGACAGGTCCTTGTGATAATTATAGCCAAGAAGAGTCAAAAGTTTTACCATTTAGTAATTCAAATTAGTATGTCTTAGCTTCTCCTTTTTCCTCACCTTAACCAGTATGAACAAAGGCTTGCTGAAATAAAGTCAATATTTCCTTGTATGTCTCTCTTTACAGCATCCTTGGCAGCATTCCTTTCTTCTGGATGAAGTAGAAGTGGACATGATGCACACTATAAAGACGGTGGAAACCCAGGTTCCCTTTCTTAAGGAGAGTTTTTTTACTTCAACCTTTAAAGGCAGGAGGAAGAGTAGTGTGACCCACATCCTCCATAAACAGCAATCACTCTTAGATCAACAGCAGTGCATTATAGAGCACCAGCAGCTAATTCCTAAGCAGCTTCCCCCTAGTTCAGTGGAAAATGGAGCAGAACAACAGAGCTCCGAGCATCAGCGGCTTGCTCGCTCGATCAGCAACCCATTATGTAAGACGCTGGAGCCTACACAAGCACATGGGGACAGAAAGGAGGGGCTAAAGGAGAGAAGGGATCAGAGAATGAGTGAGGCTTTGCATGGGAGGAGGAAGGGAGAGCCTGTGGCTGACAGTGCCAGTCTCCTCCTACTTTCATCATCATCATCATCAGGAGTAGCTGTGCTGGGGGAGCCAGCATCATCTTCACATCTGCTACCAACTGTGGGGAGTAAACAGCAAGGCTTAACTATCTCTGGAAAAACTTGGATCAAACAAGTACCACCATCCTTGAGGGTCGAAGGGGAACCCCAGAATCCCCAACCTCAGGCCCAGCAGCATGGCCTGTTAGCCAAGGGTGTTCGCCTATTAAGGAATATGGGGAACCAGGAGACCAAGCAGAAGAAAGGAGGAGGAAATGGTTCAGCTGTAGTGGATGCCAGATGTGATGGGGAACCCGATGAAAGAGATGTGGACAAACAATCCAAAAAGGCCAACAATAAGGCAAGTAAAGGAGGAGAACAGAATGCCAAGAAGAAAATAAAGCCAGAATCAAAAGGCTCTGTGTTTTCTGGTATGAAGATTAGGAAAAGTTTATCTAAAGCAAAAGGCTTGTCTAAGGATGACACATTAGAAGCTTTGAAATCAGCACATGTTGGCAAAGATGAGTTCAAGCTTGGTGCAGAGGAAAGTTTCTCACCTGACGAGCTGGGAATGGTGTCTGATGTTGAGGGAGATCTTAGCCATTTGACTGCAGACAGTCCACAATCGGACACTGGCCAGAAGACAAGTTCAGGATCAGATGCTGACCTTTACAGTTTTCACTCAGCTGCAGCTGAAACTGATGATCTTTTGTCTGATATCCAGCAGGCCATTCAAGAAAAATGTATAGATACCACCAGGATATTAGAAACAGTGCCAAGATCTATGTGTGAAGGGCTGAAAGGGACTGTAGACTCATATACTAATGCAGCTCAACAACTACTTACTCTGGAAAAGGACAATTTGTCTCAATCTGAAAGTGCACCCAAAGAAATTTCTAAAGCAATCAAGAATAAATGTCCAGACATACCCTTAAACATACCGTTATCCAAAAACTCATCAAGTGAAAGTGAAGCACCATCCTCTGTTTTAGACTTGGAAGTAAGCGGCAGTAGTATTCTCCCACAAACTAACAGTGATTACAGCCTCCAGGACACTACAGGAACTACTTCATATGAGAGTGCAGAGGAGCCCCAGGATGATCAAGAAAGCCCTGATGATATAGCTCAAGAGCAAAGTCAAGATCACCCTGCAACACAAAGTAGAACCACATGTGTACCATGTGTTTATTTAGATGCTGTATCTCCTGGAAGAAACGCAGCCGGGACTCACAAGAGTGCCAGCAGTTTGGACCTCTCACTTGCAATAGATGAGGAAAGTGTTAGACCGGACTTTTTGCCACTCAGTTTGAGAAAGAGCAGCATGTCTATTAGTCACCTGTCGACTGATTATATTCCTGCATCCTTGACAAGACGAACATCCGCAACCTCTCCCTCAACTGTAAAACTCTACCCTCCAGTCCATCCATCATATGTCAAGACCACCACCAGACAGCTCACCTCTCCAGTTGGCTCCCCCATAACTAGTCCCAATGTGCCCAGGAAAAGGGATGCCCTCGCTCCATCGTTAGATTTCAACAGGCCTGATTGGTCTGAAAAGCGTGAGCATAGATCAAGCTCTGTTACAGGACCCCATAGAGTCTCTGGAGACTGGTCAGCAGATTTGGACTTGGGAGAAAGTCAGACTACCGTGGCAAAGTCTCCAGAGCAGGACACTACAGAAAAATGTCACCCAGCAGGGAATTATTGGACCCTTGGCTCCAAGAGGGCACATTATGGAAAGAGAACCTCCAGCACACCTTACCTAGATGTCTTTTCTGGTGAGTCACTTGCTGTAATATTTCAAAGTAAATTTCAAGTAGGGGTTGCCTTCTACAGACATTTTTCCCCGTTTTCCTTTTTAGGCTGTGGGCCATTCAGTAGCTCAGCTTTTTATTTGTTTTTGTACTGATGCATTAAGCACGCAATGCTGCAGCCTTCCCTACCCATGGCAATGAAATCTTCTGATTCCATTCACTTAGACATGAGCCCCTCCCCCACCCCTGACACACACATGCACACCCGACCTCATATGAACTCATCAATGTAAGCTTGTGGATGTTAAACACATATGACAGCTTGTCTGCAAGACAGAAATAAGTCCTGATAGTAGACTGATATGTATTCAGTATTAGGTGTTATAGAGATGTTTAGCATCAAGGTTTTTCAGCATCTAGTTAGTAGACACTTTTGCGGTTTTAAGCAGCATAATAAAATTATGTGCTCCTCATTGAATGATTACAAATTAACTTCTTTATTTACATAGCACCAATTCTCCACAAATATAATATCAAAGGTAAGGTAATATACTGTAGGTAAAGTTAATAAAATTCACATCTAAATCAGATTTCTACCAATACAATCCAATAATATTAGATATGTTAATTAATCTAATTCAGTTAAATATAAGTAGCTATATTACAAAATGTCTATACAAGGAAGCACAAAAACATTTCTAGAGCTATTGATTTGGCATAAATCCCTTTTTCCAAGCAAGCCAATTTCAATCTTTGAAAATTACTAGTCCCTTTTAACAAAAAGGAAACCCCAGCAGAACTCAAGTGACATTAGTCATATCTATCATGACTAACTGGGTATGTCAGTAGATAACTTAATATCAGAGACTACAAAAGCCACAAGGCATTCTCAAAGGGCCCATCTTAGGGCCCCTCCTATTCAGTATTTACATGTTCCCCTAACTCGGATTATGATAAACAACAACATAACTTATAACTATGCAGACGACATCCATTACAATGTTACCAGGGACTGATGACTAGTTGCACTGTACTTGTGACAGTGTAATGACAATAAAACGCTGGAAAATGCTGGGACTGTTGTTAGAAAGGTTAATAAGTAAGATTAAATAATTAGTTCTAGGCTGCACACACTGGTTTTTTGATTCAGAAAGCCATGTAGCCGTTGTCATGTGTCAAGCTGCTTTTTGAATCAGCTCTGGTTGGTAGCAGGATTTCTTGAAGTTTTTCTGAGTTTGTCTCACATTTACGCTAAGATCAGACATGAAGCGTCAGAAATGGGATGTCCTTTCATGCAGTAGCCTGTAGATTTTAGAGAGCAAATGTAGATTGTGTTCCATGTGATTAAATGCATTTGTATATGGATTCCTATTCTTTTTGCTGATCAATTTTTTCAGCAGAATCAATGATGTATCTCAATAGAATTTTAGCCTCAGATCGCTTTATATCACAACAATGACAAGTTCTTTGTACTGTTCTTTGTTTTTATGCTGAAGGCAAACTAGCAGCTTTAGCGTTTAAAACCCTTACAACAGAGCAATTAAATCACAATTATACAATCATCATTCTTCTTATGTAGAGGCAAGAATTTCTCCACCTACCGTACCGCACACAAGGGCTTGAATCCAGATTGGGGTTGAAGCTCTAATGATGTCTTTATCATTTCAATCATTTAATAGCTTGGGTTTTTCTAAATTATATTTTATAAATGAGTTCTAAACTTTAAACTACCTCAATGGTAGTATCCCTTTAGTCATGTAAAAAAAACGAATTAAGGTGAGATCGCCATTGATTAAAAAACAACATAACTTAAGTAATTAAATTGTTTTTTTGTACATGACAAAAGGGATACATGCTGGTTAATGTAGTTTAAAGTTTTTTTTTTTCATATAAAACTAAATGGAAAAACTAAAGGGGTAAACGGGTATTGACTATGGGTATTCTGGTCTGACCGAGTATCCTCATCTGACAGAAAGTTTTTTTTTTATGCAAAATACATTTGTTGGAAATATATGTTTCTGTAAAGAAATTTCTAAGCTATTTAAATATATAAAGCCACAAGTTATGAACAGAATCACTTTTTAATAAAATGAAAATATTCAAATCTAGAAATAGATTTTTGTCAATTCCATTAGAGTCAATAAACGTAACATAACTTATTTTTTGTTCCGTCCAATATTAACCAAAATCCTGAAATATGAAAGTGGTAATAATAAAATAAAACCTTAGGTTGGGATTTTACCCTATTCTGAAACCCAAAAAATATATATATTTTCAGGCATAATTTGAAGCATATATTGTGATCATATTCACTGTTGACTTAACAAAAAAGAAATTATGCTTTAGCTGCTTACATGTATCTGTTCTTTCTCATTAGGTCATGAACCAAGGTTTAACTTCTTACATATTATTTACAGTATATTTATTCAATAAGGCTAACCAATAAAGCATAATTAAGTAGGTAAAATTGGAACATACTGCAACAATAGTTGATAACTTGACAATAACAGATATCACTGCAATTTTTATATTTTATTTTGATTTACTGGTACGTTCCTTTTTGAGTTTGCTAATTTAAACTTGGATGCAGGTTTCACACACTATAGGTGTAATGTTAATCATTGAGCTTTATCAATTTAAACTTATGTATCAACTGGTATCTGCCATGTTAAGCCTTTTTATTTTGAAACAGGGATATCAGTGAATTTTTGTTTGATATGTTTTTGTAATCTGCATATGGCGTCAATAATGTCTTATGTTCTATAGGTGAGAAATGCACACTTTTAGGTTTCTTATTTCCTCCCATTGCCATGGTGGGTCATGTTTTCATGCTTACCTTGAATTCTTGGCTGACTTAACTGGCAAATTAAATGTCTTAATCTCTGCTGAAAATGAAAAACCAGAAATGACAAAGCTCAATATGTTGACTCAGGATCACTCCCACTCAGAAAAGATAAAACCCACTTTCTGAAAAAGGGCTCTGACAATGTACCAATTCAAATGATGGGTAAATTCATAAAATAAATCAGTGCATCTTTGTTCCAAGATTTTCTTCAGCTGAATCAAAACAGAAATTAAGAACCTATTTTTTACCAAAGTAAATTGTACAAAACTTAGCACAAAATTTGAGTTGACTTAGAACGTAGAAATCACTAATCAAGCTTGAAATCTGGGTGTAGTGACTCAAACCTGAACCAACAGTACAGAGGTACATAAAGACTAGTGGTGTCCTGATATGTTTCCATTTCTGATACGATACCAGTATTGCAGCTTTAAGAATTGTCCGATACCGATATTGACCTGATACGATATTAATATATATCATTTCATCTTTTATGTCTTATTTTTTACTGTATAATATGAGAAAAATCTTGATCAAGTAATATTAATAAAACAGGGAGCAAACATAAACCTTAACATCAATGGGTATAAAAACAACTGAGCCATGTAAAATTAACCAAAGTTATAAAAAAGTCTACAGCCTAAAGAACATTTCCAGGATTAAAGGACTACTGTATAAACAAGACCTTAAATAAAACTACCGTATTTTCACGACCATAAGGCGCACCGGACTAAAAGGCGCACCCTCAGTTATGTGTCCCATTTCTGTATTTAACACACACATAAGGCGCACCGGACTATAGGGCGCGTTTTTTATATACAGGTACATGTCCTCTCAGGTGGATTTTCCCACTTAAAAACATATTAAAACTACTTTATTCCCACTGATCACAGCAAATAAAGCTGCAAGGTGTATTTATTACAAAGTATTATTCAAACCTGGGAGCTGGCCATGAGAGACACATCGCTGATGACACAGGGCTGTGATTACTCCTCTGATACAATTTATTGACGCATAAATTAACTTAAAACATAGGCAGGATAATAATCTGGATGAACTGACTGCAATGATTAAATTTTCAGGTGGACTTTCTCACTTAAAAAGATTTAGATTATTTAGATGAAAAAACACCTGCGGAGGTGAGTCCGGATGCGCCGCGGCCCAGAGCCTGCTGTTGAATTAAGTTTTCAGGTAGAAAAATAGAGCGGGAGCAAAACTGAGTATGATTGTGCTTTATTCATGTATTTATTACAAAGTATTAATCAAACCCCTCAAAGTCCTCATCCTCTGTTTCTGAATTAAACAGCTGCGCTAAATCCGACATGCCAGTTTCCCCTTCTTCTTCGTTTATTGACGCATAAATTAACTTAAATCATTGGCAGGATAATAATCTGGATGAGCTGACTGCAATGATTAAATTTTCAGGTGGACTTTCTCACTTAAAAAGATTTAGATTATTTAGATGAAAAAACACCTGCGGAGGTGAGTCCGGATGCGCGGACCAGAGCCTGCTGTTGAATTAAGTTTTCAGGTAGAAAAATAGAGCGGGAGCAAAACTGAGTATGATTGTGCTTTATTCATGTATTTATTACAAAGTATTAATCAAACCCATCAAAGTCATCATCCTCTGTTTCTGAATTAAACAGCTGCGCTAAATCCGACATGCCAGTTTCCCCTTCTGCGCTGTCAGAGTCACTTTCCGTGCAGCGCGGCTCCTCAGAAATAATGCCTGCTTTTGCAAAAGCTTGAAGAACAGAGCCAGCAGACACGTTATTCCTCGCTGCTTCTGCTGCACCTGCTGGGTGCGGTTCCCACAGCTGTGAGATGGGCACGCATGGAGTTACAGATTAATGGTGATGAGTGGAAAAAAAACAGCTGGTCTCCTTACATTCAGCCACTCTTTCATCATCTCCTCAATGAGGTGGTCTCAAAAGTCGCAGTTACAACACACATAGGGCGCACCGCACCATAGGGCGCACCGCACATTTTGAGGGGGAAAAAAGACGTTTAAGTGCGCCTTATAGTCGTGAAAATACGGTAACAAATAAAAATACCTCCATGATAGAATTGCTTGGTTTAATGGTGTATCCATTGGTCTGCCAAAAAATTAATCAGCTGCAGTTAATCCAGATGTCATCAATCACACTAAGAAATTTCCACACATTACCGCAGTTCTAAAGGAATAACCCTAGATTCCAGTATATGTGCAAATATACTATAAAATACTTATGTTAGTCTATTGACATAGCAGACTCGTTGTTTGTTTATCAACTGCCCAGACCCCTCAGGTCTACTCTGCATACACAGAACCGAACATGGAGCAGCAACTATTAATTCTTATGCTCAACTCATCTGGAATAAGTGCACTGAAAACTGCAAAAGCGTTGTAACACTAAATTAATGTAAATAGAGGTAAAAAAAAAAAAACATGTTTGTAACTATAATATTGAAGTTTTCAGTACAATCTTGTCAATTTGTTTATCTAATCATGTTATTTTATTTATTTTATGCCACAGCAATGTACTTTTCTTATTTTTTTCAAATACAAAACTTTGAAATACCTTGGAACTGAAATGTCCTATAGATCCTGTAAACTTCCGTTGCCAAATAACGGCTTTGACTTGCCAAATAATGGCTTTGTCTCTAGATCTATGGATAAAAAAACTGAGTGGGAACACTCAGCCACAATATTAGCTCCTCTTGTCCTGTCCAAAGGAGTGGGAAGATTATAGACACCTACTTGGGCAACTGCATCCCTAATGCAAAGATAGCATGATGTTAAAGGCAACACATTCTCAGCTGATTGCTTCTCAAAATTAAGTTTTGCGTTTTAAACATAGAACACACGCTGAAATAACTGTACGATGGCAGCATTTTTCCAGCATTGCAGTCTTCCTTAGCAAGCTCTAGATTTACATTTTAATTCAAAGGAAATTCCCAAATCCCCAAAATATGTATACTGATATATTCACACATCTGTTAACATAAAATTCTAACATTGGCAAGACTTTGTGGCAAGAATTGTACAAACATTTTGGCTGAGGGCTCATATTCTCAGAGTAAATTCAGTTTATAAAATACCTGGAGCAATAAAGGTAGATGAGGTTTGGGATCAGTGTCCTTAGGAGTCTGTCTTTACCTTTTTATCTACATTGAAATCATGTTTAACTCTGTTTATGCTGCATTCTGGAATGCTTTTAATTGCAAACAATACTGATCAAAATGTACTATTACAGAACTACGACTTCCTTGCTATTAAAGAGGTGGAAGGAAGGAAAAAAACTAATTAAGCTGTTCAGCACTATGACCAAATAATTTGAGCACAGTAACTGTGTTAAAAAATGCTGTGCTTTTCCGTGATTCACATCAACATACAAGGTACAAATGGATTGCTGGGAAAAAAAAATTTTTTTAACTTGATTTCAGTTTTAACCAATTTTTTTATGCTAGATTATCACAACTGCCATAGCTAATCCAGTATTTATTGAAATCCTTTAAATGTTCTAAAACTTAAACGTCAAATCTGTGAAGTCTTACCCAAAATGTAAACTTAACCTATAATCTTGTTTAAAGATACATTTATGTGTCTCCTATTTTTATATTTGACCTCTAATAGAACTACATCATACATCTGAACAGGGGCAATGTCTTAATCATTTGACTATTGCAATGGTAAAATGTGGGGTAAAAAAGGTACATAATCATAATCTAAAGTAAACCTGTATTTTACATTTTAACCCCAAAGACACAGTCATGGTACAAGGCAACTTAAATGTCTATCCTCTTTCGTTCATTATTTTTACATATCATTTAACACCTTAACTAGAAATTAACACATCCAGTTTTCAGGAACAGAATGTGTTTGCAAAGTTTGCCCACGTGTTTAATTACAACATCTAAATCTGAAAACTTGCACAACTTTACCTACATTAACGTTCGGTGTCTTTTCAGCTCCCACTCAAACCTTTACCAAAATAAACACCCTCCTCTTTTCTGTTGCCAGGTCAGACTCTGTTGGAAAAGCTTTGCGTGCACCAAGGAGATGGGGCCGCAGAAGATGAGGTGAAGGATATGTGTCACCGAATGCTGGTCTATGGTCTGCTGCACCCCTTCAGTGACAGCAACACAGAGCAGCACAGTGATGGGACTGTGTCTGCAGTCTTTAGTGTAAGCCATCTCCTCATTCTGCCATTACATCTTTTGAAACGATGAGTTTATCTCTCTTACCTTGGCTTGGAGCTTAAAACATAATTTAGATGTTCTACTGTGAAATTAGGAAGTCATGCAACATTTGTAGAGCACATCCATATCAAATAAACTATGCAATTAAACTTTTAAGCAATTTAAAAACTTTAATAGAATGGAGCTTTACTATGCATTTTATGCAACAATTGTTATTTACAAAACAGATCTCAGTCTACTTCCTTTTAATATTGGGTATGTGTATGTACTACTAAATTACTGTAATGTAACTAAAGGGGCACATGATTATGTCAGAATATTCTCACCAACATAACACTTTTGTTCCTTTCTCAGATGCAATATGAAAGGCAGATCTAATATTTTTTGCATGGCTGTGACTCCCTGTCAGACAGATTTAGTTTATTAGTAAAAGAGGAGGAGTGCAATGGAGAGTGGACAATCATGTGAGCAGACTTCTTGAATCCTACTTTTCTTTTTCTTGTTGCAGCAATGCTCTGCAGAGATGTAATCACTGAGGCATCTAATGGGGGGCGGATATTTGTTTTATTTTTTAGGGAGCTGATTCACCAAATTGAATATTTTTCTTGTGTTCTCTTGGTTTGAGTCAGGTCTCCATTGTATATCATTATTAACTATTTTTCTTTGGAAGTTTATTTATAGATAATGTTAAATAAATTCCTTGCACAAAACTAAAAAAAATCACTTTCATAAATCACATCTTCTACAAATTATACGTCAACTTTATTCTTTAAACAGATTTCCTTTCATTAGTATACTGTGGCATCTAAGAATGTCATTATAAAACTCAGCTTTTGTTGTAAATTCTCCCAGGGGGTACAAGCAGGAGTGCATTATATATAAAAGACCAGGTTGCCACACCGATACATGGCAACGTCTGGCAGGGCCGGATTAACTGGACTCCCTCTAATGCTCATGAAGTCTTGAACGCTCACACACAAACATATCTGTGCTTGTGTAGACCATCTGCTGACCGCGTTATGTAACAACTCCACGTGCCTTGGGCTCAGGCTGTTCTTCCATACAAAAAGCTCATCATGACAGGATTGGACAGAGTTGTCCCTGATCTGGCTGTAGCCTGGAGTTCTTTGTTATTCATTTTAACCATGAATAACCTTTACTGTTGCCATCAAAAGTATAGAATTTGAAATGAGTCATGACCACCTGTCTAATGTTTTTATTCTCATTGCTCAGTATAGGGTCAATATGACTGTTAGCAATATAACCCTGTATATATTTGTACATTTTGCTTTTTTTTATATATTTCTTCATTACATAGCCCTTCTCTGATGTTTGGGTAGAGGGAGCGTGTCTTCAATTCAGGACTGCCTTCTCTATATGATGGTTTCATGTGAAGAGTGTTGCATTATATACCGGCCATATGGTTTTAAAGAGACCTTTTTTTAATGATTTTTGTAGGGCCCCTTGCCATTATGAGATACTTTTAGTAACTTCCATTTCAAGTGCAAACTTTACTACGGTTTGCTAAAGATGCTTGCTATGGCTTGTACGCTTGCAGTTACATGATATCTGGCTTATGGCTAAATGAAATATTTAAACCATAGATGTACTTTTCTACTGTACCTGCTAATTCCAGGCCTTTCTGAATCTCTCCACAAGTGATCTTTGGCTCTTGAGCAACTCTTATGATAATTATTTTTCTCTCCTGTGTCCGAAAGCTTGTGAGTAGCACCTGGTCGTGGTCAGTTTATGGTAAAATTATGTGATTTCCACTTCCAGATAATGGCCCCAGCAGTGCTCACAGGAACATTCTGAAGTTTTAAAATCGCTCAGTAACCAATGCCATCATTATGATTTGCAACAATAAGGTTCCGAAGATCTTTAGAAAGCTCTTTATCTTTACCCTTAATGAGATGTTTCTTGTGTGATGCCAGAGACACCTTTTTATAGGCCATCATTTGGGACTGAACCAGCTGACATTAATTTGCACTGACAAGGGGCAGGATTGCTTTCAAATTAAAGAGATATTTTTGGCTAGTGTCTTGGCTTTCCATGCCTTTTAGCACTTCCCAATTAATTAGATGGTTTAAATCATGATCGTATACTAAAATAAACTAATATAATCACTCTTATTACTTTTTCCCTGTGTCATTCCACATAATTTAATGAACATCTCTGTTCTTTGTATGTGTGGTTTGCTTGGATTGTTACTGACATCTGGTGAAAATGTCATGTCAATAGTGGCCTAAGAAATATACTTAATGAGAAATATTGTGCCGTGTCTAACATTTATTTCTCCTTGTGTGTAAATATATATATATATATATATATATATATATATATATATATATATATTAGGGTTGTTAAAGGTATCGATACTCAAAAAAGTATTGCTGCTGAAAGGTTGTATTCGGATACAATACTCATTTTCAAAAGTATCGATACAGTGCTACCACCAGTGGCACCTAAACAGTCATTCATCTTATGCACAGATTAGAGGAAACTGCACTTTCTGGACACTGTGTGATTGAATTCTGTGCACTTTTTGGTTTCAGACTTTTTTCTGTAACAGGTGCCGCTGCTGAGAATTATTTTTGTTTTTTAACTGGTTTGGCTAGTGTCATTGTTATCTGTGTAAAGCATATCCAAGGAAGGAACACTTAATTTTAATTTTGTACGTTTTTTATCAAGCGTGCTTAATATTGTGCACAGCATGCAACCTCAAAGTATTGTTTATTGTATTTATTTATCCATTTATTGTATTTTGTTTATTAATGAAAACATTTCTGTTGAATTTTGGAGTCTTTGTTTTTATCATTGTGGTATCGAAAATGACATCGAGTATCGAATGTTTTACTTAGTTTCGGTATCGAGTTGAAAAGTTTAGTATCGTGACGACCCTAATATATATATGTCCTCTTGTTTTTTTATACTGTTAAAAACATGGCGGAGTACCCCCATGATACCAAGGCATCTAAACCTTACCACTTACGTTCTGACATTAGGAAATGATCAGCATGCATTCTAAGCCTTTGTCACCATTGCTGGACAGCCTTTGGACCACGACACAATGCCTCCAGTCATTAATGTTTGCTTCAAGGCATTTCTTATCTTACACATTAAATACCTCAAGCAGTTTTAACATGTGTGGAAAATCCTGCAGAGAGCAGTCTATGAAATGCCAGGACTGGTAAAGCTTTTTCAAAGTAGAACACCTGCTGCCAGTGGAGCGAACAGCCTTAACGATATTATTAACACATTTCAAGATGGTGCCTTCTAAAGATTCAAGTATCGTGTTTATTGCATTAAACATGCTTTGCATAACCCAGTAGAAATTGGTTTGGTATTTACACTGCTTGTTATTGTAATATCACTGCAAATGCCAAAAGAGGTTTCATGTTACAAGAAAAAAAAAAACAAATTGCCAGATTAACACATGGAAACGTTTTTGACCATTTGATTTAGATTTGGACCATATATAAGGGTTAAATGGTTTATAATTCCCCTGCATTAGCATGTCAATCCATCATTATTCAAATTATTGAAGGGCAATATTCATTTGTAGAAGGAAAATAATTGACATTAATGATTAGTGTTAAAGTTAATGTGGTGTTGATCTATTACACTTTTCCTTTTTTAAACTCTGCTTAGGAGGAGCAGTTGTATACGTGGGCATCCATAGGCCTGCCAGTGTCTTCCCATCTGTGGGAGCTTTATGGAAGAGGTCTGAGATCCACTTTGCATCGTTCATCATCCAAACCATGCGGTACCCTGCACTTTCAGGTTGGTTACTCTATTCATTATACAATACATTATACTTTTGCAAGACAACACAACTGAGACAATGTTATGCAACAAGAAAAGAGGTAACATTCAATGATACCACAGACACGGCTGTACCCTGGGGTAAAAGAATAAGGTCCATAAATACCTGGATAAGGGAGTTTGCTATAAGATACAGACCTGACATTGAGTCTAGAGACCTAGAAGCTTTGGGATGAATAAGAAGAGAGGAGGGCCTGGTGTTTTCCAAAGTCAGTGTCTAATCTCATAAATATGTTCCTGACTGATTATAAGTGAATACAAATGCATCCCCAAACCTATGCAAAGGGAGGAAAGACATGTTATTTCAATGGACTAAGTATCCAATGCAGTTCAATTATATTTTATTAATCATCAAAGGGAAATTCAGTGTCTGTACAGCCCGTCCGTGGGACATGGTGTCCAATGCCTTGCTGCCATAAAAGGCATGGACTGTCACTCCAGCAGACAAGCTAATGGTTTTCCAATATTGTGTATATTAAATGTGATTTATATGATAAACTAATAAAAAGTGTTGCATAATTGAAATTGTATTTAAGGGCATAATGGTTAAAAGGGTTCAACATTGAAGAGTATTTTTGTGAATTAATCTTTCAATTCAGTGTACTTTAAAACCATACACTACTTTCTGTCACTACACACAACTATGGTGAAATGCATGTTTTCTATCACATAATATCAGAGTAAAATACATGAAATGTTCTTGCTGTAATATGACAAAATAAAAAACATCAGGTGGTGTAATCACTTTCTAAGGTACTGTCAATGATCCAGAATTAAACCAGCTAATTATTTGGAAACATTTTCAGACACAAAATTAAATTTCATAATAAATTGATCAATTTCAGATGTAATTGTTTTTCACAATTATCTTCTATTGCCTGATACCAAAGCTATTGTCAGTGTTCTACCATCTGTTTAAGTTTATTTTTACTTTCTTTGATATTCTGTGTCTTTGTAGTTGTTTTCTGTCAGTTTGGGGTTTCTTAGTTACTCCGTGTTGCCCCCTTGTACCTGTTCCTTCCCCTCGGCTCTTTCCTAGTTAGTCCTATTCACACCGGCTCCACATCAGCTCATTTTTTTCAGTATTTTTTGCATTTTTCTGAATTTCTGCCTCAGTTGCCTGTTCGTCCTTGATTAGATCAGCAAAACTCATCTCTGCATTTGGGTCCTCAAACCCTCCACCTAACCTGACATATTTTTCCCTTCTTTGTTTCTTTCAGATTTATGTAGATTTTTTTTTGCCATGTCCTGTAAAATGTTCTTTGTCCACCAGAGGTCAGGCTTGTCTAGAGAAATGAACAAACAACAGCTGCCTGATTTGAAGAGCTGTGAAGGATAAGTTGGGGCGATTTAAGCCAAAAGAAAAAAAAAAAATAGAGAAGATACAACAACCTAAGCCACCTGAGAGACCTCTAAATAGAATTAAACTTTTCCCAATGAGGGACCAACTAAAACTCCCCATCTCCGGAGCCCTAATATCTCAGTATCGTTTTCTTTGAAGCTGTCATTGTGGACCTTGATGAACATTCCTCAACTCATACCTCCAGAGTTTTTTAAGCCTGCAGAGTCGTCGATGTTTTACTATTTCTGCACTTGCTCATGCTTATAATCTTAGAATTTACAAAGAAATTTGTATCAACACTGCTATTGTGCCTAAATTTAAAATCCTGGTGTTGAGGTGTTGACCCAACTATGCCTTCAGATGATATATATATATATATATATATATATATATATATATATATATATATATATATATATGTGTGTGTGTGTGTATGTATGTATGTATGTATGTATATATACAGAATATACATACAGTCATTAATTGCTATAACTTTACCTATTCACAACATAAAGTAAGAGGATATGCAGTGATTGACCGTGAAAGGCTATGTTGATGGGTTGAGACAACAATGGTTTAAGTACAAAATAAAGATACCAGCTTAAAAGGTGCCCAATTGGGCTTTAAGGCCGAATTGATGACAGAATTGGACAGATAAGCCTTTTTTTGGTGCAATTTTTAGATCTTTGTGTCAACTTTAAAATATTTAATAGTTTATTTTTCTGTCTGATTTTTTTCTGGGTTACCAACAGACAGAATCTAGCAGGTTGAAGTCTGGCCCGTCATCTTCAGAGGATGAAAGCAGTCTCATCCCTCAGCTGGAGAAGAAAATTGAGGACTTGCAGAACAAGATTGCTGTTCTTCAGAGCCATCGACCCTCTTTGGCAAAGAGCACGGAGGATAATGTATCAGTTTTGGGAAATGCCCGCCCAAAGGCTTTGCAGAAAAAAGGAGAAAAAGTGGAGGCATCTGTTCAAACTTCACCTGTGGATGAGGGTTTTAAGTTTAATGTACGTTTGAATGGAGGAATTGGTAGCAACTTATCTTCAGTCACATCCTCAAGCATCAAGGCTACAGAAAGCTTTGTGTGCACCTGCAAAGAGAGGCAGCAAAAAAGTATCATACCAGGTCCTCCCCATCCCATCTCAGCAGCCATGCCGCCTCCACCTCCCCCACCTCCGCCTCCTATCTCAGGAGCCATGCCTCCTCCTCCTCCTCCTCCACCTCCTGCACCTGGTTTTGGTCCTTGTCCACCACCACCACCTCCACCACCAGGCTTTCGGCCACCACCTCCACCCCCTCCTCCACCTGGAGTAGGACTACCTCCTCCTCCACCTCCCCCACCGGGAATGGGACCCCCTCCTCCACCAGGAATGTGCCCCCCTCCACCAGGCTGCATCCCACCACCTCCGGGTCCCATTCCTTCTCTGATGGTTCAGGAAACATCCCCTGCCAAAGCTATGATAGAGCCCCCCAAGCCAATGAAGCCACTCTACTGGACCCGCATTCAGCTGCATGCAAAAAAGTAAGAACAGATATGCATCATTTGCACACAGACATTTTAACAGTAGAGAATTTGAGAGGAAACATGTCCACTTAAGATAAAGATCAGCCACATGTTGTGATGGTAATGGAGATGCTAAGCTTGTGGAAAATGAAAGCAATGCAGTCCAGGCATTGTGGTCGGCGCAGAATTGACTCTAACCAGGTTTTCTTTCCTTATAGGGCTTGAAAAATGTGGCTAAAAAAACTGCTAAAAATAAATTGAAGGATTGCAAGTGAGAAATCTGATGCTAAGTTTGTTGACTGATAGCTTAGACAAGTATAGTACTTTATTTTTTATTTTTTTTGTATCAAAAAGTACTGAGAAACAGGCTTCAGTGTAGTTTTACAACCACAGAAAGTCAGATAAAAATTCTACTGTTTGTAAAGTAAATAGTCAATCTGTCATTCTACCTCTAGAAACCCTGGACCACTGGTGTGGGAAAAAATAGAGGAGCCAACTATTGATTTCGGAGAATTTGTGGATCTGTTCTCTAAAAGTGCTGTGAAGAAGAAAAAGAAGCCAATTTCAGATACAATCAGCAAATCAAAGGCCAAACAGGTATGTGTCATTCACGTTGTTTAATTGTGTACTTCCTCTGCTGATTTTTATTATTTTTCTCCTGGTGCTTTCCCAAGCGTAATTTTCCATCCATGCAGCGTTCCTTTCCATTTCTCCTTGCTGTCGCTCCCAGAGTCACTTTGAGTGGCAGGAGGAACTGCTGCAGCCAGACAGTTATTATGTGGTGTGAGCTCTGGCTCCCAACCGACTCCCTTGTGACCATCCAGTGGCACCGAGCCAAAGACTCGCGTGCGGTGAGCAAACCTCACAGCGATGACTGCTGGAGAGAGAGAGCGGGAAAGGAAATTAGCGAGGGAGAGCAAGAGAAGCTTGGGAGTTGTATTTCATAGTGTGGTTCCTCCCACCATGATTTCTGTGTGACTTGGTTTAATAGTTGGCCTGTTTCTCTCCCCTATACACTTTATGCCACTCTGTCAATTTCCAAGTCAAGCATTTGATCTACAGTTTAAAGCTGTTCATGTCATCATCCTAAAATTGATGTGCAGTTGGTCAAATTTATGTGTCTAAATCACAGATAATGTTGCACAAGGGAACAGCATTTTACCCATCTAATTGACACTCTGGGGGATACCCTGTACTTATGGCAGAGATTAAATGTTAATCTTAAGGCATAAACATTTTTGGGAAATCTTTTGGTTTAGGAGATGTTGAACTTAACTATTAAATCAACATAAAACTTTTTTGAGACACGTCAGGCTTATGGAAGTTTAGCTCGAACAAATGGAATTTACCTTTATGCAAACTCTACTGTAGGTCAGTAAAAATGGAAACATTCATTTCCTTGAGGAGAATTTCCAAAAGTCATGTTAAAGAACTGTAAAGAAGTTTAAATAGAACACATATAGATTTTGGGAAAATAGCTTCACTCCATTTAACATTTTATCAAACATAATCTAGTTATTTATAACTTTCCTTCATGTACGAGTACCTTTATTTAATATAACAATGGGTTTTAGCTGAAGGATACACATCCCTGTTTTCAAGCCCCTTTTTGTTGGATATAAACTATTCCCTGACAAGCAAGTCAGTACTTGTGAACAGGAACGTTTACCTAATTTAAAATTTGACAGTCTGACTTTTTCAGTTCCTTAAAGACGGCCTAATGCTGTCTTTATGATAGCGCACCATGTTTTCCTGCATATGAAAGTTTAATGTTTTCCCAGTGTGACACCTAAAGTAAAAATATACCAAGCATACTCTAAAAAAAAGTATATAACTAAAAAAAATTTAAGAATGGTTAAATTCATTATTGTTTCATTGTTGTTATACCATTTTATCTAATTAAGAATTTAACTAGCGGTACATATAATTCAAGAAGTTCTATTTAAAATATGGCCATGCTGAAGACATTTTAAGGTCTGAAATTAGGAATATTGCTTTTTATACTTTATGTTCTGACCTAAAACTTGCAAAGATATTCTGCTGTGAATAGAAGAGTGAACATTGCAAGTTGCACTGTTGCCCCCTTTCTTGGTGGAGTAATACTAATAACACAAATTCTCTGAGAAATTGAGTCATTCAGAAATGTTTTTTTTTTGTTGATGACAGTTTTCTTTGTTTGGGCTTTTTTAGGGATGCACTAAAAGTGCTCTTTACCCAGAGATAGCTGTTACATGAAAATACATGATACATATGATAAAATGATACAACATGCAAATTTAGTGAAAGCAGCAAACTGATACAGGGTAAAATTATCCATAGACAAATGAATGTACATCTACATCACAAACATTTTGAGAATTGCCCGTTTGCATTTTGGAGAGACCATATATTTGTGGCTGTGTTAAGAACGTATGAAGAGTTGTGCTTATGGTTTTAGACCTAACATAGAACCAACTATCAAACCTGAAGGTATCAGGCTAAATTTTATTTTGGTTGGTTGTGACCTGGATAGGTTTGTGTGTTGCTTTGATCTGCATTTCTCACACATAGGCCTAATATACATGGTGTCTGTGGCTAAATGTAATTCTGTTCATACCCCAGGATCTTATTCAGTTTTTTTGCATTTTAATTGGAAAATAACAGAGATTGAACAAGATTGAAGCAAGCTGAGACTTATGAATACATTGATTTTCCTTATTAAAAAACAGACAATTTTATGTTAGAATGTACAGCACCTATTTTATAAATCTTTTATGTTACATAATATATTATAATTGTTTTTACTGTAGCTCTCAGTCCATTCTATTAGGCCATCCACAGATAACAATTATTAAATCACCATTGTTGTAACAATAAACAGGTAGCTTGCATTATACACTTATATTTTTTGAAATATTTTAATTCTGTAATTATTTGATTAATTATTGTTCAAACATAACATTATACGATCAGAGCAATTCAGAATTTGACATTAGATAACAACTTACTTTCTTCATATATCTGAAATGTATAATGATTCTATTAGCTCCTGCTCCTCATGAACTTATTGACTCATCTGAGTATTAAAAAAATAAAATAATTTTTTACTTTTCTTGTTGTAATTACAAAGCAAACCAAAAGGAACATAGGAAAAACATTAAAACAGGAGGAAAACTGTATGTAGGTATACGGTACACCTTTTTTTTTAAGAGTATCTTCCTTTGAACTGCCACTAGAGAGCAGCTCAGATGTTATTTCTCATCCAGTGTAACAGCCTTTGCTGATAAACTTATTAAATGTCCAGGTTTACTAAATCCACATAGAGTCGATGGTTTTCTCTTCTTAAACATTTTTAAAAAAATAAATCAAAGACAATATGCTTTGTCAAGGGGATGGATCTACCTAGTCGTTATCCACACTGAAAACTGACTCATTGTAACACGTTATATTTTTTTACAAAGAAATCATTAGAAACCAAGAGGTTTGTTATGTAATTGATAGAAAATCGAGGAATCTTACCAGAAACCCTTATAAAAACCTTCGTTGTCTCAAAGGTTTGCCGATCCCTTCATTTTAAAGAGGTCAAACTATGTTTTAAAATGTACTTTTTCTGAGCACTGCTGGCCAACAATTAAGATCATCAGCTAATTCTCAAAATCTGACGGTAACTTAAAATCCTCTCGCAGTTTGTCCTTTATGGTCCCCTGAAGAGATTGTGTGATGGGATATAGCTGTATCTTCGTGCATCTTTTATCAAATGCCCCTTTGGATTTGACCTCCAGACAATATTATAATGGAAATACAAACCTTGTTTTATTCACAATCTCCTGATTGTAGGATCTTTTTGAAGCAGTGTGAATACTTCTGCATTTTGTCAGAATCAGCTCAATATAAAAGGATGTCCAATAAGTATCATATCATAGTCCATGCCCATTGAATCTGTGGTTATTTTCAGGAAAACAGATGGTGTATTTGGGGCCCCGTGATATAACTTCCTGCATGTTTAAAAGGTCTGTGGTCTGTCTGATCTGGTTTCAGGGAAAGGGTTCTGTCTGGATAACAGTGGGCTTTGGGTTTCCTGTTCTGTGCAATCTTTTTAGCCTTATTAAATCTTTTGCTTACTAAGGCAAACTGTGGCTCGTGATTAACCCAGTGTATGTTTCTATTAAATCATAATAACATTGGGTAGATGTCCGGAGCTTTGACTTTTGGTAAAACAATATCATGTATTAGAGTTAACATGAAGAGTTATCATTAAGCAAAAATGAAACACTGTCTGTAGTTTAATCTTTGGTTTTTCTTTATCATTCGTAATCTATTTTTTCATTTGACAAAATGGTAACTACATTGCAAAACAAAACAAAAAAAAAAAAAACAAAAAAAAAGCCTTTCCCTGGAAACTCTAAGGTTTAATTAAGTTCAGTAATTGAACTCAAAATTTAGCATTTTTGTATTTGGCAAAATTACAGTAATATACTTAATATTTACAAATCAATCATCATGTGTACTTGCTCACACAGATAACAAACTGACTGTAAATATTTTAGGATTTTTACACACTGAAACAAACGTTTTTCTATGTATTTATATATTTCATATAACCTTTCTGCTGCTGTCTCTGTGCATGTTCTTCTCTAAGGTGGTAAAATTGTTAAGCAACAAGCGTTCGCAAGCTGTTGGGATCCTGATGTCCAGCATTCATCTAGATATGAAGGACATCCAGAATGGTAAGTGTTTTATTCTGGGTCTTGATTTTCACTTTATATTTAAAAAAAAAAAATACCGGTAGCAGCAGCACTTTATCAATATGCACTTTGTAATACTTACACTTAACAAAAGGACTCGGTGCAACATTTGAACGTCATGTTGAATTTATACAACAGGGAAAGATTGAGGGCTATTCAATATGAAGATTTTAAAAAGCAAAAAAAAAAATACTAAAAGGCATGGAAGGTTTTCTCCTTTGGTTCTGCCCTCTAGAACAACATTGTTAAGGCTTGTGCTTTGCACAGCTTATGAAGTATTTGCTTTTTACGCTAACAAGTGCATTAATGCAAAATACTTCAGCCCTTTAAATTAAGTTTTGCTTTTGTAAATAACATTTTTGCTTTATAATTAATAGGTGTAAATAATTGAGCGGATAATTGCAACTAAAAAGCTAAGATTACAGTAATTTATTATCATGACAGCAGATACAATAAACTCAAAGAGGAACCAATGACTAGTTAGCCTTTAAAATCCTGTTATAATCCACAGATATTTCCCCAACAAAAACAGTCTTATTTCAGTGGTGAGAGTCTTGACATTCTAATACATTTAAACCTAAGCCTTTAAATGACAAAATACTTTAAAACATATTTCTGTATATGTTCTTTTTCATTTTAATGGAAATAATGTTCTGTTGTGAAGCTAATAGTAAACAAAGTTTTAGCTCCTGTACAGTATTTGCTTTCTGCAGAGAGACAATAGTCCAACAATTGCATATAATTTGTGTTTTGATGTATGGCTAAATACTTTTTGCAAGTCTTTGATTGTTGTAATAGTAGCCTAAATACTGGGTGGATATTTGGGTAATTTGCCAATTATAAATTCCCACATTCTTTTTTTTGATCTCCCCTGACTTGAGGTTTACATTAAATTAAATAATTCTGTCCCATGATATTTATCTAACTCAGTTCGCACCATAATCGTAGTTTCCAGTATCAAGATTTCCAAAAGCTTTAAAAAGTAATTGCTACAGAACTGGTCCTATGGTTTAAAACCTATTAACCAAGATCGCAGTAAAAGTTTTAGCTGGTGGATTTTTCGCCAGCCATAGAGTAACACGTGGCAACATCTGTCAGCTGCTTCAAAGCCTTAGTCTAAAGAAGTGTAGATCAGTATAATCAACATAATAATCTTTGTGTTAAAACTAAAGTGAGTAAGCTATATGAAATGGTCTGCAAAAAAGGAATTAACTTGAAATGCTGACAAAGGTTTCTTGAGCTTGTAAGTTGTCTTAGTCCTGGATAGTAAATGACCTTGGTGGATACAGCTGACTTACCAGATGCCCAGAAGACAGTCATGACACTCTCTACAAGAGCAGCATCAAATAATGTGAAACAGTGGTATGATACATCAGCAGGAGGAATAATAAAAAATTAAGATTTGGTAAATTAGATTAAATAAGGAGGTTAGGGAAGCTTTACAAGGACAGGACTGAGGCTTGAGACAGAACATCAAGAGACAAAGTTTGTGTTTTATTTTCAAATAATGTTCCTGTAGGAAGAAGCACAAAGAATTTTAATGTAAATTTTCTAGTCAGTGGTGTGATGTCACCTGCTAGTTTACTTCCACTGTTAGGTCCACTATCAGCACAGCAATCTATCCAGACATATGAGAGCATGCAATGCTTCCTGTTCTGACAAGCTTCGTGTCAATTATGATTTCATCTTTCAGCACGATTTGGAACAGTACCTGCCCAAATTGTCAAAGTTTGATATCCATGTTTTACTGTGCTTGATTGGCCCTAACCCCAGAGATAATCTGTGAGTAAGTGTCAAAGGGGAGAGGAGAAACATTAAAGACGCAAATTACCTGGAGGCCACTGTCATAGCAACCTGTGCTTCCATTACACCTCAGCAGTGGCACAAGCTGATTGCCTCCATGGTATGCAGAATTGTTACAGAAATTAATTCAAAAGGCATCTTAGGCAAATATTAAGGGTATATAAATCTAACTTGTTTTTCAAAAGCCTCCAGGTCTTTTTAAAACATTCTTTTAATGCTAATCTTGTGAAACTATTAACATTTTCAGACACACTGGATTTGATATTTTTGTATCTGTAAACCATGATCATAAATATTACAAGAAAAGTGTAAAGTATCATACATTATGTATAATAAACCCATATAATCAGTTTCACTTTGAAATGACGAAATTGAGGTTCTCTTTATTTAAATTTTTGAGATTTACAGTACCTTTATCTGTTAGATGTATAGTAAGTACAAACAATTAATTTTAGAATCTGTTGAGATTCAGATGTTGTTCTCTCTCTCTAGCTCTCCAAAAAGTCATTGTGCTAAAAGGCATCCAAGTTATTTATCCTTTTGTTCCCCTCCTCCTCCTCTCTGGTTTTCCCTGCTCTCATTTTTTGTAATCTCTTTGCGTTTAACACCCACGCCATGTTTTTCTGCGGCTCTCTATCTCTCTCAGAGGTTGTCACCATCTTGTCTGGGCGGCTTTGCAGAGGTGAAGTCATCCAAGAGATGTTGATAGGAACAGACATTCTTCCTGTTTTAGTTACTCTCTGATTGCGCTCCAGTCTTCTCTCATCCATGTGTCTAAACACTCTTCCTTTTCCTTTTTTTATCCTCCAACAGGAGAGCATTTATTACAGTTTAAATACAGCAGCATCAGTATTTTAGGTGTAAATGTCAAGATCCAAGCTTTAATGTCTTTGATACATCCATCTTGGGTCTGAACAGGAGGGCAGGAGAGGGCCACTGTCATTAACACTGCAATTTATCTCCTATGTTAGGACATTTTTGAAATGCTGTATAATTAACACTAATTGGAAACTTCAGTTTATCCCAGACTGAGAACACAGAGTGTGTCATGGTGGTTTGGTGGTATACTTCACACTATTTCTTTCTTTTTTCTTTTTTATTTCCTAATTCCCAGAAAGTTTGTGAGCACATATTGTTATTAGAAATGTCTAAAAACACATTACAGACATTAAAGATCGTGTTTGTCTGAACAAAATGTCCGTTTGCATCCCAGTCTGTTTTTTAAAGTAAAAGTTTAACTCATAAAAGCGCTGTGAAACAGTTTCATTTAATTTGAATTCCACAATAGTGACAGTGACTACCAAAGCTGTCATTTGGATTGTTCTGAACTGAAGAAAAACAGCTTATGAATCATGAAGTTTTTGTTTTGTTGGTTTATAGCAGCCCAGCCACTCAACAGGGAATCAACACATTTCCCCCCTTCCTTTCCTCACAGCTGTTGCTGGTTGTTCTCAAACTTAGCTGACATGCTGCATGTTTCATAGGACACTTCCATGCAGCGTCTGCTTCCTGTAAGGTTATAGAGGGCTACAACTTTTCTTTTTCTCCCCAGGACCATAGTTGTCAGCACCATGCTGGGGTCACATGTGGCAGTATAGGATAGATGTGGACAGATGGGTCTAGGATTTTCCTTTTTAGACATAAGACGTCCATGTCACAGTGATGACATGACTTTCACCTGCATCTAAAAAACTGCTTTGAATCGAGGTACCAAAACAGACTGTGGTGGTACAGTTTGCCTCAGTAAGATGGTAATGAAAACCAAATGGTTAAAAGAAAAGAGCAAATGTAACAGAGGAGGATGTTATTTTTGTTGCCGCTTTTGAAGAATAAAACAAGTCAAAAAGAGTAAACGCAAGGAGTGGATGAAACGTATGGAGATTTTTGTCAGAAGGGAAGATGTGGGCCAGACTTCAACAAAGGTTTTAGTGGGATTTGAGGTAATTGGTGGTGAATGAATTGATGTTTATAACCCTATAGGTTTCAAAGAAACAAACCTCCTTTGCTTCTTCTTAGTGAAACCGAGAACAAGAACAGGCAGAAGAGAGCTGCACAGTGAATATATAGATCTCATTTGCTACAAATATTGCATAAATTCCTCCAAGCAGTTAACTTTTATGTTTGCCTTTATGTCAGTGGCTAGTTTGCACTGGTCTTAAGGGGACAGTTAGGCACATTTCACTGGGAGTGGATGGTGATTTAAAGTATTAAATTAAATGCAGTATCACCTTTCTAATGATATAAACTGTAAATGCTTCCATGTTATCTCTCAGATAGAATGTTTAAGTCCTGAAAAATAACACTTCAATTGAAAGACCAGCATATTTTAAATTTTCTGAGAACCAGGACTCTAATTTATATATATATATATATATATATATATATATATATATATATATATATATATATATATATATATATATATATATATATATATATATATATATATATATATATATAATTTAATTAACTTTTTTTTTTTGCTTTTGCATAACATTTTCACATCCAGACCTGACATGGTTACTTAGACATTTTGCATTAGTGCTGAAAGGTTTAGGAAACAATTTATAAAAAACAATTATTGTTTGAGAGAAACTTTCTTTTAGTAGTCTCTCCAGGGCTGAATTAGAATGATGTCCTATCTATTGCCAATTCTTATATATTAAGCATATCAAAATTGATTGAAATGCTCATAAAATCTTTCCTTGTCATGCTCACTTTTTTACTCTCAGCTCCTCTGACACTCGAGTTCCCTCCTGTACCCCAGCAGCATATCAACAGGTCAAAACAATGTGAATAATTTCAACACCTACAGCATGATGAACATGCACATCTAGGTGTTGACTGCTTCACTTGGTGATTGTGTGTACGGCAACACCTCAGCCTCAACACCACAGACCTCTGAGCTCTGTTTGTCTTTAAACATTTACTTTCAAAGGATTAATGCTTGTGGGCGCCAGGTCCTCGCGCCGAGACAAAAAGGCGACGTGAGGAATTCAAACACTGAAGTTCAAACACAGATCTTTGTGTCTGACTGATTTCTAAGTCCTTCGTATGTACAGCATGTTGCTTCTCACATCCTATCCTGATGAGAACTGATAACTTTGGCAACTCTGAGCACATGGCTTGTTTTATGGGGTAATTTTACCCCTGTATACTGCTACCTTTAGGCCTTAGTAAACCAGGAATTTTGGATCTGAGAAGGCATTAAGTCTTTTTATGTGGTTTATGTCAAACTGTTGTAATCTTCTGCTTATGAAAGAGGAGATCTGTTTGTGTGTCTGTGATTTCTGACTTGCTAATTGTGTTCTTTAAAGGTAAAGAAATGTCAAGACATGCCTCAGTGTTAGTATTAACACTAACCATGTCACTCTTGTAATCTGTCCACAGCTGTCCTAAATATGGACAACGGTGTTGTTGATCTGGAGACCCTGCAAGCACTTTATGAAAATGTGAGTAGAAAGTGAGCTTGAGTATCAGATATCATCTAGGTAAGATGTATATCAAAGTATTAATGTTCCACATTTAGCAGCTTTAAAGGGAGCTCTGTGGTTTCAGTAAAATCATAAGAATAACTTGGTCTCAGTATTTTCTTCCCTAGTAAGAAAAACATGAATACAATAATTTATTCACAGCGTAGATTAGTTTAGTTAAGAAAAATGATCCTATATGTTAAAGTAAGATTATGCCATCCAACATACAAAATTAGCTTTAAAAAAAACATATTAATATTGCATTGTTCCCAGGCATTCTGCAACAGTAACACTACAGTAAGAGAAAACTGGCAAAGTAGATTTACACCTTCATTGAGTAACTGAGAGGATCTAGGACGTTTCTTTGACTGGTCCTTTTTGTGATGATGATGCTGTACAGTCAAAATATTTACTTATAAAGCTGTTTATTTCCAAATGAAAATACCTTTACCTTTGCATGTTTAAATGATCTTTTCTAAAATGTAGAAAGCCTTTTTCGAGTTACCTACTCCCCGTAGGATCAGCAGCCCCCACCTTAAATAACTGCTTAAAATAACTGAGTACAGAACATTTTCTGACCATGGCTTTAAAGAACTGTTTTGTTCTAAAATAGTTTATAATTTTAAAGTATGTCTATAAGACATCATCAAGTGATGATGTCACTTTGAATGTAGTATCAGCACTCATTAATAGGTTTGCAAAATGACTTTTCAGAATTCATATTTTTAAATCCCAAACTAAGCATAAATGTGGTTGTCTATAGGTAAGATCAATTATTAACATCTTTTAGTGTTTATGTTTATAAGCAAATGTTGAAGAATGTTAGCTGGTATCTACAGTATCTCTGCATTATTTTCACCTATTTTTAGTTTTTTCTTGTACATGTATACTTACAAACTTAATTTTCTTAAACATAACCTTTCTATAAATCCCATATAATTATATAGTATAAGTTGTATAAATCATATAGTAAGGATTCTAACTATAAATGTTCCTGTGGTACTTACCCTACTCTGTCTTACAGTATCAAAACTCACTGGAGGGACTTAAGATTGTTTTCGACGTGACGAAAAATTGTATTCCCTTAGAATTAGCTAGAAAGAGTCATCAATGAGAAGTCGGAGTCTGTCTAGGTTTTCCTTCTTGCTCTTTAACCTTTCTATTGGTGGTTTAATGGATGGGAAGTAAGAGCATTTTAATGTTAGAAGTAAAACCCACTTTATATCCTATTTGTACATCTGTGATATGAAATGACATTTTGTATTCTGAGATGCTTCTTCATTGAATATATTCCCTCTTATTCCATGTTCAACTTAAAAGGGGCAAACAAAAGAAGCATGTATTAGACACGAAAGCAAACAGACAAACCACAAGCCACACTGGTATGTGAGCTGTTTGGCTAGACTGTCACTCCTGTCTAGGTTTATCCTGGAAGAAAATCTTTGCTTTTACATGTTAACATGTTTTCTACATGTTCAGAGAAAATGACTCAACTTTTGAAATAGTCATGTAAAAGGAAAATGAGGAAGACAGAAGAATTTTTGTCTTAAGTTGAAAAAAGTAAGGACGTATTGGTGACCATTCTGGATTATATAATATTAGGACTGACTTACTGAGCTGTCATCAGCACATCTTAATGAGGCCTTGCATTAGGCATGAAGGGTCTCTTTATAAAAGTAAATACATATTCATCAATCTCCCCTGGCCAGATGAAATGGTTCAGGACCCCTTCAAAGTCAGGTCAGTAAATTATGGAACATGAAAATGAGCGTATTTTCCACATTTCAATGGAGAAACATGTTTAAGATGCTGTGAAATTCCTGCAAAGGGATTTTTGGCACCACTACACAGAAGAGGCCTGGACCTTTGGCCGCCAGAGGCATATTAATAATGCTGATCATGGGAATGAGACTGTGGCTTGAGACGAGCTGTAGTCATGAACCAATGTGTCATAACTTAGGATCAAAAGTCTTCCAACCTCTCCGTTCACCCTGAGACTTCAAGCCCCCTCTCTTTCTCCTTTCCCCATGTATTGCCTGAGGCTGTGTTATTGAGTCGAGGAGCCAAATTGTTTCTCTTTTGTATTGCAAGACTCCATCCTGTCTGTGGGTCTCCAGCCCCCTAAACCACAGTTGGCAGCACAGTCAGCCTGTCTTAAGGAATGCGAGGGGCTCCTAATGGTTACACCCTCACTAGCTAGATCACAAGCTACTCCCTTACTCCTTTTCTTTCCCCTTGTTCTCACAAACATGCTCACAAACAAACAAGTTGAACCACACAAATATGCACACGTTACACTCTGGGCTCACAGATAGAAACACGCGGAGGCAGGGCAGAGTCGCTCTGTCTGCCAACCGCAGATTATAGGCACTTGTGTTGTCTGAGCAAGGCCACCACCATTCAAAAAAGGTCAGTGACGGTGGAACACTGGTCTCCCTCTCTCTTGCATCAGTGTGGGTTAGGAATCCTTTTTCAGCTTGTGTTGGCAGAATGTGACTAAGGTCTGTAGGGATCCCCCGAATCTTACGAAATAAGACTGTAAATAATCATGTTTTTAAGTGTGACATTTAGAGACGCCTAAATCAAGCTTCTTAGATTTAAATATCTCTATTTCACTATTCAATAACAACATATTAAAGCCTTTTTACCTATACACCTATTTTTAGTAATCCTTGCATATTGGTACTCAAATCTATAATGCATTGCATGAATTATATTGCCAACTTGCCTCTGTCTAAATAAGCTGTCTCTGACAAAACAAATGAAAACCAACCAATCAACTTTTCCATCTTAAACATTGTACCAGAAGAAATAGAGAATGATAATGTATGCCACCATACTTATCTGCCTTGTCAAGTAAAGTAAATCTTTATCTGGCGTTTTCTAATCACTAAGAAGTTTACAGTTGTGTATTCTGCTATTTTTAAGTGGCCATTAGTCATTAAGAGGTCATCAGTGGGCAGAGATAAACATCTGAGTGAGATGCCTCACCCTAATAAATAATTAATGAGCAATACAAATTGTAACAGGGTTACTTATTCCTAAAACCTAAAATCATATCTGATCTACTCACAGTTAGGCTGTTTCTTTTTCAGAGGCTGTTGTTCCCTCCGGTGAAAGTTAGATTACTCATCAAAGGAAGACATGCAGGGCTTATAATGTTCTTTTTCTATTTTCAACCTATTATTAGTCTTGAATTCTCATCTGATTGTTGCCTTCTGATAGCGGGAAAATCCACATTACTCCAGGGCCATTCTATACACTGAGCTGTGTAAGCCACAGGTTAAAGGGGTATACCCAGCAAATATTTGACTATGGTCCCTAGGCACTCTAATGCCACGTATATGACGTTCATGGAGCTGGTAACTATCAGAGTGGGCTTTTCAAAGGGGGTGTGTAACTGAACAGGGAAAAAATTGTCTAAAAACGCAGATAGATTGGTGCTGACCAGTGATCAAAGATCTACAGTGGGACCACGCTTTCTATGTACTGTCATCCAGCTGTTGTTAGTTGCTGGCTATCAGGACCTGCTGGAGTACCACAACTTGGACATGGCCCTGGTCTCGATGACTCTGAGCTCCTAGCTACTCGGCCTGGTCCAACTCCTGGATCTTCAACGGCCTGAAGCTGGTACTCCAGCTCGAATATCCTCACCTCAAAATTTAAAAAATGATCACAGTCGTTACATGTACCAGTATTGGTATTGCTAAAGGAGGCAGAAGAGTATCTGAACATCTGACACAGAAAGCAGGAGAGAGGAAGAGGAGATTTAGGCAGTGAAAGAGTCATAGTAATGAATATGAGCATTGAATTAAAAAAAGAAATTAAAATCTAAAAATAAATAAATATTAAAACTCATATATATATATATATATATATATATATATATATATATATATATATATATATATATATATATATATATATATATATATATAAGGAAAATAAGGTAAGGTGACTAGATGAAAACAGGCACATAAGATGCTGGTAGTACTGGCAAAAGAAACACTATGCCGGTTTATAGATTACACCGCTCCCTGTATAATATGGTGTCTATCAAAAGGGCTTGTTCATACGCATTGCTTCCACTTCCAGTGGACCATGGGATTATACCCTCAAACAAACAGACACTCAATAAAATGACACACAAGACTACACGCCGCACAAATTTTTACATTCATTATATATATATATTACCCTCACAGGTCTAGGCTCCAACCCCAAGCAGGGAACCAGCCCCCAAGATATAGAAGGAGACCCCCCATCCCCCCAGAGTGGCAAGGCAGGCAACTCAATCTATTAATTCAATAATTTTATTTGTTGTTAGACTCTAGAGAACAACAATTCTATTCCAAAAACTTGTATCCGTCAACTTGGCAGTGACATTTGAAGGCCTTCACAGGTTTAGATATTACTAAAGGGGGCATCAACATTCATTGTATGCCCAGTTTTATCAGTGTCTTATCCCTCTTTGAGTAAAAAAAAATATTTTTGTTTCCACTTTGAATGTTGGACTTTTCTTCATTATTTTCACATCTTCACAGGGAGGTGGTATTTGGCTTATTTTTATTACTTGCCTGTTTACCCATGTGCACATGTGCAACAACTTACCCTGGTCAAATGGTGCTGTTATCGTAAATATATACAATTTTATTTGTTTGTTAGTTAAACCCCCCTCTCCAAAGAAAAAAAAAACGGAGCAAAAATAAAGTCTGATCTTTGAAAGGTATCGCAATATACATAAGACTGTCATATGAAACAGATTCAGTAAGAAGACATTTAGCAAAATTTAAAAAATACAGCTTACCATGTACAATGAAAAACTTAAGCTAAACTAGACAATGTTGAGAACAAGGGATTTAACTAGGGACTTCAGAATATAACTATGGTTAAGATAAAGAGAAGTTGCAATAAATGGCACACTGGAAAAAAATCAAAATCTAGATAACAAATTTTTTCTTAAAATAAGTGCATTTGTTCTTGGATTGAGGAGATAAGTGAGACACTTTTCCAATCGAACAAGACAATTTACACTTAAAATGTGAAAACACAATTGCAATGTCTTATTTAAAGTGCATATTATCTAATTATCTTATTTTAAGGATAAAAATACACATTCCATTGGTAAACTATCTCATTTACCTTCTCTAAGGGTAAATACAATTAAATTAAGAAATTTTAACTTATTTTTAGATCGTTTTTCCAGTGCCAAATAACATTTAAGATGCCGATCTCTGAAAATAATCTAATCTTGAATAATCTTTTGTTACAGTGAAGTATGATTTCCATATAAAATTCAATCGAGACTGTTTTCAATGATCGCACATGACATGTCTTAATAAAATTATACAATTCATCTTCAAGGACTTGTTCATAAATTTCATAATTCTCAATCTTACACGTTGAGTGACTTGAAAAGTGATTGAGCTCTGACTGGATCTGTTTAGCCTTGCATCAGAAGCCTAGTTAATGAATAACACTTGGTGACCACTAGAATTCTAGCATTACAAATATCCTGCTCTATTTTGCATTGGATATTCCACATGGGACTGTATTTCTCATGCTAACAACCGCTCCAACATGCCCTAGCAATTCAAGGATCACACGTTAATGCCTACTTGTCCCCAATTACACCAAACACTGCTGGGCTCTGCCGCTGCCCTTTGAAAAGGATCTGCTTTGTGTTAAATATATTTACACTTGAAAACATCTCTAGAAGAGCCTGCCCTCACCGACATAAGGCAGCGGTGTGTAGAATACTAATCGGGCTTTCAGAGCTTTTGATGCTGGTGTTTGATGTTTTCCAAGGATCCATGCCGAGGCCAAACTCTAGAGAAGGGGAAAAATGGAGAAAGACATGAAGGGCGATGAAGAAAACCAAAATGCTTAGACCATAGGTTGATGAGCCTTAAAAGACTTAAAGTTTACATTTTCTTTCTGAGGAAGGTTTAGTGTTTAGCCCATCTACTTCAAAACATTCATGTATTTTGTCTTGCCATCTTTTGAAACAATAGCACATTTTTGAGTGCTTTTTTAAACCACTTTGAATAAAACTGTGGTCCATCACCTGGCACCAGGATAATGGTCAGAAATCTAGTCGAGCTACAGTAACTGGCAGTTGTGAAACTCATCCTATTTAGACATGGTTTATCAGGTTTATCTACAAAGTTCAGTTTGAGTTATTTCCTGGTTGAAGTTCAGTTTTTCCTCATTAATTAAAAGACATTAGAATTTAGACAAGTGAGGGGAAACATCAAACACCTGACTGCATTTTGAAGACTGTGAGAATATTTATGTTATAATATCTACTAAAAGATTAGTTTGCTACTCATATTTCAACTTTAGTTCTGCTTGTCAAAAAAACTGGGTTTGATTTGAACATTGGGGCATTTATTCTTTTATCGATGATTAATTTTCTTGAGCTTCACAGTTTTAATCTACATTGCAGAAAACATCATTTGCATTTCAACTTAAATTTTTCCTTGGCAGAGGGCTCAGAATGACGAGATTGATTCCATTAAAAAGCACATGAAATCCAACCAAGACAAGGACGATGCAAAGCCTCTGGACAAGCCTGAACAGTAAGTTCTAGAACCAAGTTCAACACACAGATCCTCCCTGAGGATAATGCTACAGTAATGTTTTTCATTTTGTCCCCTCTCTAGATTTCTATTCCAGTTATCCCAAATTCCCAATTTCTCCCAGCGGGTCTTCTGCATCTTGTTTCAATCAACCTTTCATGAGTGCATCACCTCAGTTTTGCGTAAAATTGAAATTCTGCAAAGAGTATGCAAGGTAAACTGTTGCACTTTACATTTGTCTATTTCAATAAACTGAGATTCCCCAAAACTATTCACATCGCTTCAACTTTTTCCAATTGCCATCTTACAACTGAAAGCTGTGAAGCATTTTGATTAGTAAAAATCATGTGATAAACTTATAATAAATACAAACACTGCATGATTACAAAGTTGAAATAAATCAATACAGCGTTTTTCAAACTATTTTATACTCAAAATGAAATATAAAAAGTGTGGCAGCATTAGTATTGAATTTCCTTAACTTTGCTGGGCCCAGGATATGTCTTTGTGATGGCAGGAATTAGTCCTAATAATTACAATTGTTTTTTGTTGTTCCTTTTTTCTCTCTGGAGATCCTGAGTGAAAAAGCCTTATGAAAACAAAAAAATGAATACCACTTGAATGAAGTTGTAAAGTTTCCCATAACATGAAACTGTTTGTGGAAAGGTTTAGAGCTGGGTTGGATTATAAAACAATACCCCAACCTTTATGAAATATCAAGAAGCACTGTTTAAACCATTATCAGGAAAATAAGTGAATGGCCCAAACACAAACCTATACGTACTATTAGGTGCACATTAAATTACAGGTTGTTCAAGAAAAGAACTAATTTTACAGATGTAACCAGAAGCACTGTGGTAACTCTTGTGGAGCTCTCCGGATGCAGTTATCAAGGGAGGAGAGTACAATTGTATTTTTATACAACAAAAAGATAACTGCACAATTAGCAAAACATTCTATCACATTTTGAGATTTTTTTTTTTTAACAAATGAAAACTATACATCAATTTCATTCATATTACTGTTTGTGTTGATCACATGAAATTATAATATTAAAATATAATGAACTTTCTAGTTGTAAGATACCTTAAATAGTTTATGAATATTTTTGCAAAACTGTACATCCGTGGTCCATCTGACCTTCTGTCATTCTGTCTTACCACAGACTTTACAGAGCAGTGAGGCCGTGTTGCAGGTGCTTGGCCTTGTATTGGCATTTGGCAACTTCATGAATGGAGGTAATCGTTCCCGTGGACAGGCTGATGGGTTTTCCTTGGACATCCTGCCAAAACTAAAGGATGTTAAAAGCAGTGTGAGTATGAAGTCAAATGTATTTTGAAGTAAAGATTTGAAATCTGAAAGCACATTTGATCAGATTTGAAATCTCATCCAAAAAATGCAAGTCTACCTTTAAGATAATTTTAACATTTGCTACTACAGTAGCAGCCATTCACAATGGCCCTTCCCAGTCAAACGCCAGCCGAATGGCAGCCCACTTCCCTGCAGTTCCAGCAAAATCCCATCCAACGTCCAGCCAATGGAGTGATCCCCTCCTTGCTAATTTTTTTTACTCTGACCCCACCCTTTCACTGAATTACAGGGTCTGACCAGGAGACCCTGTAATTCAGTGAATGCGAGGGGCTAAGATCTAAAGAGGGGCTTTTCTTTAGATCTTAATGTCCATAAATCCTGACAGAACATTTTAGTATAAAGATTAATGTTTAAAAAGGAATTGTAGGGGACTAGCCAGGGCCCATCAAGGAAAGTGGGGACATTTTGAATGGCTACTACTAGTCTTATTTATCTACATTATATGTAATGTGTATATATAATAATATTTTTGATTTTAAGTTTTTGATATAAAAGATCAACCTTACAGGCCCCAGACAAATACAATAGCTGTTAAGAATTTAGACCCTAGGCCTTTCTGTTTACAACTGAGTTGGTATCACAACACACTCACTGTGTCCTTAAAAAATGCCATAAAAGGACACAGTGCTGTGCGTGTTTGTAGCAGTAGAACATGTAAGTACTGAAACTTTCCACTAACTCGTGAGTTATGATGACTAGTCCGGCCCAATTGTGTTTTGCTGCATCTCTCGTCCATTGTCCTAATTTAAATCCAGCTTCTTGGATCTCTGTTCATTTTTATGTCAACATAGATTAAAACATGCTGCTCCAAAATGAATGGATTAATAGATAAAACATGCTGCTTTATTTATTTTGATGTTTTTCATTCTTTTTCATTTTTAGGATAACTCCACAAGTCTTTTGTCTTACATTGTTGCTTACTATCTGAAGCACTTTGATGAGGTATGTTTTGGTTCCTGTTTATTTGAATCACTCCTATGTTTTAGTCTGATTTGCTTAGAAATCCTTCCAGAGCTCTCTTTTCATTTCCTCTCTTGCCAGAGGATACCACGGCCTATCCTTTATCAAATTATTTGTTTTCCCTTTTCTCATTTGCAGCAGAGACAAATCTTTCTTTTTGTTATTCTCATACGTTCTTTTTTTTTTGCCCGTCTCTCGTCATCTCTGGCTTAAGTTCTTCTTTCTTCTGGCTTCATTCAAATCTTTAGTTGGCCCCCTGGCACTGCTTCCAAAGAAGTGTTAGCATAAATAATTTGCTGCTCCAGATGAGATTAACTCAGTAACTTAGTCTGCCAAAAAATACCTGCATGGCATGCTTGTAACTCTGGTAATGGCCTTTTTGTAAAATCAGATGGTTAGAAACCTGTTTTCTGCTGATAAGTTTATGTCAATCTCCAACAGAATTTATTTGACTCCTCCATTTGTGTGTTTAGGATAGAGAGGCCCTCCCTTTAAGGAGTAAGATTTACTTTGACAGAGTGGTGTGTGTTTTGCATCATATATATTTTTCGTGCATGCATGTGTGTTGTCATTTATTAGGATGCTGGCAAAGACACGTCCCTCTACCCTCTGCCTGAGCCCCAGGACCTTTTTCAAGCCTCCCAGATGAAATTTGAAGATTTTGAAAGAGATCTACGCAAGCTGAAGAAAGACCTTAATGGTTCTTGCATTTACATCACACTGACTCTTCTTTTACTAAAATATTCAATTATAAACCCATTTTTTCTGAAATGTGGTTGTTGCTAAACTATCAAATTATGCTGCCATTGCATTGGTCTTTGAATTTATTACCTCCTAAATCTTCTCAAAATATTTTATGGCACATATTTAGGTAATTTCTTGCAAAATTCATCATCATTTTCCTAACTTTACCAGCAATGGTCATGCATGGACTGACAGGCATATCAACAGAGAGATAGTATCTGTTGGTTGTACAGATGAAGTAACCAGAAGCAGATGTGATTTGTCAGATATACCTATCTCAGACCTTGCATGCCTTTACTGTCTTCCTGAAGTCCAAGTTGAGACTATATAATGATTTTATTTGTAGTCAGGGAACTGTTGCTGCTGAAATATCCTCTTTTATCAGCTAAACTAGAAGAGCTAAGAATTGTTCTGAAGAAAGAGTGATTATTTATCTTTTTTTGGGACTAGATTACTCAGTTTCCAAATTGTTCTGGAGCAAATTGTTGTTCATACTCTGGTCTCACTTAAATTGGCAATAGTTAGATGGGCTAATCCTAACTCTAAATGAACATATTTGGATACATAAAGAGGTGTTTTTATTAGATGACTCATGCATTCTTTGATCAGATGTGTTTTAGCCAATTAGCTCAACCAACAACCATTTTAGTATTTTTCCTTTGGCAATTGAGAGGCATAATACGAGTGTATTTTGAAACATTTTAATAGTCAATAATAATAGTTCTTGACCTTTATTCTTTTATCCGCTGGATTTTCCACAGTGAAACCAATAAATGAAGGCCCTGAAGTCTGTTTATTCTCATTTAGTCTTAGACGGGCTGAGAGGTGTAAGCACACTGGAATACAGAGAATGCAAAAAATACAGCTACAGAAAACAAATGAAAAAGAAAAATGCAAAACAGAAATTCTGCAATTACAAAAAAGAGAGCAGTAAAGTGAAAATGCATTGCAAATACAAAACCTGTTAAAAAAAATACAAAGGTGCTTAACATAAGTACACAGAACATATGCAAAGTAAAAAAAGAAAAAGTTCTGAAAAGCTGCAAACCGTGCATAGCAAAAGTTCTCCAGGCCAGAAGGGGTAAAAAATCACTAACTGGTATGAGTCAGAGCCAAAAGGATTCTCAGAGATACAGTGTTTTAAAGGATTTAAATAAAAGCTTACCTCATCCTTCTTCCCTCCAGATGTCCTCTTGGCAAGTGTCTTGAAAAACGGATTCCTGCCCGTGCTCATTTTTAGGAGAGTTGATTACTGCAACTTTGACTTCACAGGTCTGCCTAAAAAGTTGATCAGATAGCTGCAGATGATCCAGAACACTACTATCCGAATCCTCAGCAAAACTAAGAAAATCGAGCTCATGACCCCAGTTCTAAACTCCTTAAACTAGCTCTAATAACCAGGAAGAGTAGTCTCTACTCTCATAGAGACTAATGGGGATTCTTAAATTAAATAAAATGTGTAGTATTAAGTATTAAAATATTTCTGAGTCTATAAATCACTGACTAGCTTAGCTCCTAAATACATTGCAGCAGGTCTTTTGGAACAGGTCTCTTTTCATAATAAATTAAATACAAAATATACCACCATGACTAGTATTTAGACTAGTATTTATTTTCCTTGTGGATTTCTTTTAATCCACATGGTGAAACAATGGCAGCCAGTTTAGAGTAATGTAATGTAATGACTTACCAATAAGAATGACTGTAATTTACTTTAGTAACACACATTTGACCGATTAGGAAAAGTCAAAATAATTCTGATCTATTTAAATATGTGTGTAAACTCCTACAGTGACTGTTGGAAGCAGAAAAGATGATAAAGCCTTATGGCATTTTGGAGAGTGGGTCAACGGGAGCTCTACTTTGGGCTTCAAGTGTGCAACAGTCTTTCACTGAATAATCTCTACTGCCGCTTTATGCTTGGGTTGGGAGACATTGTCTAACAGTGTTATATTTCTCATAATCCTGTCTCCCAACACCTGCACTATGTCCAGGTGGCATCCTAAGACAGAGCTAAGCTTTCTTAAGAGCTTGTCCACAGCTTCCTTTTAGCTGCCGAAAAGCCAGACCATAGAACCTAGCTGAAGCCACCGGGATTCAAAGAAGGTCTTTGACATGAGATTGTTTTCATAGCACCATTCTTAACTGTTAGTACATTATGGGAATGCAAGTTTATTTATAAAGCACAGTTCATTACAAAGACAATTCAAAGTGCTTTACATTAAACAGTAGAATGTAACTAAAATAAAAGCAGGTAAAGATAAAAACATGAGAAAAGCAGGCAGGAAAGCAGATAAAAAAATTGACCACAAACTTAAAATAATAATACCTCAGTTAACAGTTTAACTTTAAAGGCATTACAGAATTTTCGAATAATACTGCCAACTATGGCATAAATCCGGAACTACAGCTTTCTTGTGCTTGTTTTTGTAGCTCACCCTCATACTTAGCAAGTTTTTTTTGTTTGTCTTTACCTTACCTGGACTTGTGTCCGAATTTAGTTGGATGCCGGTCGCTTCTGAAAATCCACAAAATCCATCTTGAATATAGCGATTCAAATGTTTTCTAGGTTGGACGCATTTAACATGTATGCGATCGATGTCAATGTTCCGCTGAACTGCGCAAACAGGCTTTTAACTTTGACTTAAAATAACTCGGGCTTTCATCACTTTTACACTCTTCTTTAAGTTTGTTCCAGATAAGTGGAGCATAGAAATTAAATGCTGCTTCTCCATATTTGGTTTTAGTTCTGGGTGTACAGAGTAGGCATGAACTAGAAGACCTGAGTAGTCTGGAGGTTGAAACACTGAAAACAAGTTATGTTATGTTGGTGCTGATCCATTCAGTGTTTTATATCCCGGCAGAATGTATTCTATTATCTGATCAGCAGGAGCCAGTGTAAGGACTTCAGAACCAGGCTGATGTGCTCTACTATCTTACAGTAGTTCTAGTTAGCACATGGGCAGCAGCATTTTGCATAAGCTGCATCTGTATAAAGGACTTTTTAGACAAATCTCAGAAGATACTGTTGCAGTAATCAATTCTACTAAAGATAAATGCATGAATGAGTCTTTCTATATCCTGCTTGGACATTAGTCCTTTAATCCTGGAAATGTTCTTCCAGTGTTAAATGGCTGACTTTGTAACTGCCTTTATGTGCCACTGAAGGTTCAGGTCTGAGACCATAATGACACCAACATTTCAACCATAATCAGTGGTTTCTATCTGTAGCAGCTGAAGCTGTGTGTAAGCTCTGGATCTCTCCCTTTGTCCAAAGATTATTACCTCAGTTTTCTTTTTACTTACTTGGAGAATAATGTGACACATCCATGTAGCCAAAACTCTGAATCTGGCAGCATGGGTTCAGGGGGAACCCCACAGTGTAGTGAATAAATAGAATAATGCGCCAGCATAGTACCTTTCAGTGCATGTTCGACAGAGCTAGTTTGACCAGCCAGACAGACTTGGACAGTCTGGTTTGGTTTGGTTTTGACCCTCTAGTCTAAAACAGAGTGGACCAATCATGTCACAAGAGAAAGAAGTTTGCGCTTATGTGAGAGTTGCCAATAATGCAATGGGGCCTCTCTGAGACCATAAATGTCAAGATTACAGTTGCAAAGGAGGGATATTTTAATGATACCCTTTATTATTTCGAAAATGAGCCAGATATATGCTAAAATCAATTACAACTGGCTGCTGTAAGACATTTTTTTAAAAGGCATATGTGATTAGTTTTAACCTCTTTTTATTGACTCTGTGCCTTTGAAATCCGGCTTTACCTGCTTCTTTCGAGATAGGCCATGTATACAACATTTGTCACTCTGGCTGGCCAGGCTACTGTTGACCAGCCAGAAACAGACACAGATCTTAGTGTCCTTAGATACTACAGGCAGCCAGTCAGCTAAGCTGGTATCCACTGCAGAAGAACGGGAACAATTAGGGAATCTGACCTGCACAGTGCTTACATAAGTGTGTCAAAGCTCAATGCATTAGATAGCTAATGTCAGGATGATAACAAACTGCAGTGGATCAAATGAAGACCCCACTAGGGGCAAAATGGTGGAGGACCAACCACTCAAGGATCTTCATCAGTTGCAATATTAATACCACTGGTTTACTGTTCATGAGGTTTTTCCGGTGTGTGCCCTGTGACACTGGTACCCAAAAGGCCTTCCACAGTTTTGTTCCTTTCCCTAGCTTCATGGTAATGTTAAAAATGTAATGGCACAAAATGGGTCCAATGCTGCGCTCCTGTTTGACAGTGTTTGATGACACTGATGTTTGGAAAATGCATTTTTCCACTCTCTGGGAAGAAACTATGTGCAAAACAATTTTCAAACCTAAAATGGTGATTAAGAACAGCTGTATTTTTATCTGTGTAGATGAGAATGTACTGAGCTTGATCAAAAATAGCCAAAGCAGTCCTTTCTTATGATTATGTTCTATTTATCTTTGCTGCTAAACTAATTATTTCACAGAACAGTTTCTCCAAATATTGTTTTTTTCTCTGCCATAAAGATTCTCTGACATGTTAAAGTACCAGCAATATATACAAATGCGGTTCCTGTTGCAGGAGGTTGATTTTCAACCCAGTGGCACTTGGTGCATGCTGATCATGCAAAAGTATATTATCTTATGCTATACCTGCATAGTTCATTATTAGCTAGTTAACTCACATGAGACAGACACTGGGTTCAAATGCAATTTCCATTGCAGATTTTGATTATTACAAATGGCTTTGGGAAGACGCTGGGACATTTACAAATAAGTAGACGGAGAGAGCATAGTTTTGTTTTGGCTGAGTTACCATATGGTCTATAAATTTCTCAATCCCAACTTCCCTGTCCTCTTAACTCGTGACCTCTTAAGTGTTGAGCTGAGTTTGAATATCTGCTATGGTTGCAGATGGAGCGTGGCAATAGGTTTCTCTACGGGTTCAGGCTAGTTTTATTAAAGTAGCTTAATAGCCATTTTGGGTCGTGCTGATTTCGCTCCCTCTTTTTCAATTATTCATTAGAGATGCATTAAAAATATCAGTTGGTCTGAAGTAGAACACAAATTTGCAGTTACCTTAACAGTGCCTCATGAGATGCCTTTCTAGAATTATGTATTTCTTATGCAACATTGTCTTGTTGTTTCAGCATGCTTTGATGAAACCGATAAAGTCTGCAAGGTTTCATCTGAAGAAAACCTGCAACCATTCAAAGTCAAAATGAATGACTTTCTAACACAAGGTAAGTCAATTTTAACATTTTTTTCACATTTAAAAAAGATCAGGACAGGTCTTTAATTTTTTTTTAAAAAGATGTCCTTTTGCTCATCATTCTTAACCTGACAACAGCCAGATGCATGTCTCGCTCCGCCTAGCTCCACTCACATACATCTGGGACACCGCCATAGGAATTGCCTTTACTGAAGGCTGGGCCTTATCAAAACTCCTTGCATATGATTGGATAAGCCACTTGTCTGTCATCTTTATCAACGTGCTATTTCAACCACTCACACTGAAGCTAACCCGTGACGCTGTGAGAGCTACACAGGAAAAAAAACAAAACAGAACAGCCGACATCTTGGATATAGCAACAGCGGAATCAGCGCAATGTTGGTAAATTATCAATGTTGTTTGTGCCATGAAAATGTGCGGATAAAAGGCAACATTGTGCACAGCAGACTTATTTTTAAAAAAGAAGCCAACCAAAAAAGTATAGACGAACGACTTGCAGAACCCGCTTCTCCACTACGTCACATGCAGGACACACCCGCCCTGCATCCTGATTGGCCAGACCATAAATTCGGTTGGGGAAATCACTTTCAATGAGCGGTGTCCCAGATGTATGTGAGTGGAGCTAGGCGGACCGAGACATGCATCTGGCTGTTGTCAGGTTACATCATTCTACCAAAAAAAAGTAAAACAAAGACAATTTCATTAAAGAGCTTATATTGAATTTTGTTTTCAGTATGGGATGAGGAAAAGAATACAAGAACAGTCATCCTTCTTAAATTTGTTCCACAGAGGGCAAGTCAAATTATTTGGTAAACATTTTTGACAAGATGAGTTGTTTAAACACAAACATTTGGCATTTAATTAGAAAAAGCATAGTATTGAACTTAAAACATTTGCTTTGATGACAATGTTGTTTGTTCAAGGATCTTAAGAAAACAAAGACATTGCAGGTAAAACCTGGGTAGAGGTCACATTAAACCTTTATAAAACATCTGGTTTTCACACCAGTATACTGTCTAATGAAAGAATGCTTTTAACATTAAAGACTTTGGGTTTTTTTATACCTTTCCTAAACAATCCTGGAACTATTTGTTTCTTTTGGGGCAAGTCAGGGCTTGGGTACTGATAAAGATAATGTATCCATAAATGTCCATAAATGTAAACAGAGTATTATTTTACATCTTTAGACCAATTAGGAATTATGATTTATTTATGTTGTCATTTGTCAGTCTCTTTCTGTTATAGCCAGTGACGCTGTTCATTTGTCAGGACATTTACTTGTAGCTGAGACATATTAGGCAATCAGTGAAAACTTTTGTGAACCAATTATTGGCAAAAATATGTCAGAATACACAAGGTGCTGGGGCTGCATAACCACAAATCAGTCAGGGTGCTTGATGACTTCTGCTGAAAGATGCAACAAAAGGCCTCTTGAATAGCAGATCAGGACCAAACAGCAAAAGAATAAAGTGGTTTTGTCTGAAAGAAGGTACTAAAAAAACATTTTATCCATTATGACTGCAGCTAACAATTTACAGGACTTAAATCATCAACTACTGCCTGCTTTAAAAAAAAACTTTGAATATGAGCATATTTGCCAACCTTCTTGGTAGGATATGGATTGGCAACAAAGCAGACTACATTGGAAACCACTAAGAAAGACTGAAGCAAACCCCTGTGGTGGCTCCATGTTGGAGCCCTAACCCCTGACTAGCTTACAAACTGACAGGCTTGCACATGCTTGTTGACCTAGGCATTACCTTTCAATCAACACACATGGACTAACCTACCAGAAAAAAGAACAAAAGTGGACTTCAGAGTTGCAGTGTTATTTTAGAATCCATTACATTTATCATGGATATTAAACAATCATCTTTTTCTCGTCTTCGTTACTACAAGCACAATCTGCAAACAGTCACTCCACTCACAGGCCTGGCATAAGTATTCCACTACCTATGGCTTAAATAGCTGCTAGAGCATAGTGTGATTTCATCTTTATGGTTTCTGTGCGCATACAGTTATCCAATCTGGACGTGGCCTTTGTGTGAGATACCACAGCACATTTCAGAGGCTCATGTCTCAAAGAGTAAGGGCTGTTTTTGCAAGAAAAGAGGGGGACCTGCACATTATAAAGCAGTTGCTCATAATAGTATGCCTACATTAATTGGTGTATACCCTCTCAGCTCAGAGAAAAACTGTTTGTTCTCTAAACATTAATTACAAGTAAGTTTTGAATTGGTTTTATGTAGTTTTCTGGTTGCTGTTGTTGCTCCAAAGGTAGATCTGTTTACTTTTATCTGCAAGCACCGGACGAAATAGAACCGGACGAACGGGTCTGCCTCTTTGGATGGGCAGTCGTTTGGGGTCTTTGTTAGCCAGCAATACCTGATACTGATCTATGTCTCTGATAAGGGTGTCATTAGGGGGAATTGTTGTCCTGGCTGAACAGGTGAGATATTCTGGTCCCCTGTATGATGACTCACTTAAAGGTGTTGGACTGGAAACAGCTCAACATTCAGAGGCATACAATGGAGCAGTTACATCTCTGTACTATCTTCACCAGAGACGGTATATTAAGGGGAAAGAGACGAGGCTCACGGCCCTGAGGCGTACAAGTTTCAGCCACTGGCAGAGAGACTGTGTGGCTGCTTCTGTACGTCAATATACATCTGAACTAAACACACTTGATAAACAAAAATGAATGTAGCTGATGTCATAGACTCGTCAAACGTTCAAATCTGGCCATGGCCATATTGAGTACTCAAAGATAAACTTGACAGACAACTTGTGCACCTTGTAAGAATACTGTGTTGCTGTTGACTACTAACACGTAATTGTGTTTAATATGTGACAATCTCTCTGCACATGCCTAGCTGTGTTCATGTGGCAAAATTGTTTACAAAAACAAAACAAAAATGTTTTGTGGCAATTAGTTTGATTTGGAGTGAGCACCCACCCTTGAATGCACACAGTATATGAACTTCAAAAAAAGAAAAATAAATTGGCAGGTCAACAAAGTTAATACCTTATTCAGGATATTAATTGCTAAAAAAATGTTATACAATTTGGACCGATTTTGCCAAAAGATATTCTGTAAAAGATCTTGCCTCTCCTTCTTACAAACTCACTTACAGCTGTGGTTTTATCTCTTGATCAGATGTAATGTTCAAACCTCTATAATCTATCCTACAGTTATCCAGGCTTTCCATCCAATAGTTAAATTTGAACATGGAATTGAAATCAGATAAAAAGCTTTGTGAGGGCTAAAATAGAAACTGACATTCAATTACACTACAAATATATAATGTTTCTAAATATTGTAAAATAATTTCACAACTATTGGGTTCATGTCACTTGTACTAGATGCCAAGCAGAAATAATCAATCTTTTACTCTAAATATCTAACGCATATAACATTATCAGGGCATGTTAATCTACATCAAAAGGGTAAAGCCTAACATTTAATGCTTTATTTAACATAACAGGCCAATTGACATTCTTTGCCTAGCCCTGGCATTGACCCTGCATATATTCAGCTTGTTGTGGCTAGCCTTACTGAAGGCCCCAACTCATAATCTACTCTTCCACTTTTGTATTTAAATGAGAGAATAATACGTAGCATATGTTATTCAGCACTAATGTTCAGTGTACATTTTTTTTTAAAGTCTACAAATGAAAGCACCCAACTTTTTTCCACCTCCATTCCGTCTGTTCATGTTTCTCTGCTGTGTGTTTGAGACAAATATGGGAGCTCTCTCTTTGATGCAAATGATGAGGTTTTTCCCCTGAGAGCAGAATGTAAGCACTACAGCATGGATATGTGTATCAGAGGCCTCCAGACAGAATTCTTTGAGTTCCTCTTTTGCAGTGGTGGAGGGGAAAACAACACCGGCTAAATGTCTTATTTTTGTTAGTTCTGTAATTTCTAAAGAGCCTGAGGTTAAACTGTTTCTGGCTCCACGGTTTAAACCACTTTTGTTTATTTTCTGACCATGAAGCTAACCGCAGAAAAACAGTGTGAGCGGACTTGTTGGAGCTCGGCTGTTTGGTCTAGCTTGATTTTCTCTGCTCACTTCACAAATTCTCATGCGTCTTTGATTGAGTTAATATGACAAGCACAAGAGCGCCCACCATGTGATAATCTGTTTCTGATATACATAAAGACTAAAAGTAGGACTGACATAGAACTTATACTCGTCCTATCCATTTTTCTTTGTGTGTTTAAATTAACAGAAATCTTTAAGGTTTCATATAGTGGTGGACACTGATTTTTTCTTTTTAATCTAGACTAATATGACTTTATCTATTTATTTAGGTAAATTAATCTAGATAAAATTGCTTCATTTTAATTCAAGACAAAGGCATTCATATGTGTGTCCTACCTAAATAATAAGTTAAAGTATGTCTTTGAATGGGTTTGTATCTTATGAAACTCTAGCTCTAGAAATGAAATAGGCTAAATAAATATACCACAAAAACTACATTTTCAAAAAGCATCCCACTTTACCCACATTTATTTAAGCAATCATCAAGAAGAAAACAATGCTTTATTAATCTTTCGTGGAGTCGTTTTGAAATTAAATTTAAAATTACATAACATAGCCTTCCTAAAGCTAACATTTTCATCTTTGGCAGCTATCTCCACAGCCTGCTGATCATGTATTCTCCTCATGATAGTTCACCTCGCAAATAGTTTGTGAGATGGGTCACCTGTGCCTGCTTGGAGAGCAAGCTCGAGCCCATCATCTTCAGCAACGCTGATGGCGGCAGCTGGTGACAATCCACTTTGCGAGGAGATGAGTTCGCTTTGCTGATAGAGCTGTGTGGATGGGCTTGCCTCGGTTGAACTCAAACATTGTAGTTTGAAGAACACGACTCCTCTTCTACGCTACATCAGTGCTTGTACTGGCTAGCATCTTCCGCATCCATGCTTTCCTGCGTGGGAAAAGCAGGGGATGCTTTGCGTTTAGGTGGTACTTTAGACTCGAAGAACTCCTGCGGTAAACTAATTCTGCATTGCACAAGGTGAAAACAGCTTTAGTCTTAGTCTCCCTGAAGTAAACCCAGCGGCTTTATAGCTGCATCCATGTCAGAATGCCATGCTAAATATTGTAATTTCACAGTACGCCTATACAGGATGGAAGACTGATTCTTTCTCGCTTTCTTTTTTCTCGTTTCTTTTTTCTTTTGCACCCTGATTTCCCACCACTGGTCTCAGAGGTTACTGCTATATCTACCACAACCACTGAACAGCCACAGCAATAAACATGTCCCACTTGGAGCTATTGTCTCAGTCTCCTTTGGTGAACCAGAAAAGGTCTGCCAGAGGTAGGAGTTCAAGATCTCTTAGTGTGGGGCCTCTGCCAGTCATTGGAAGCACAATACCCCTGGACTCTTGGAAGCATTGCATGTATTTTGATTCAAACCCTATCTGGTCTGACATTTTATCAGCTGGCAGTGCAGTTGATCTCTTGTGCACTGAGTCTCCTCAGAGCGACGAAAACGTACAAGATCATGGGAGACTGTAAGAAGTAAGGATACACTGAAATTCACCAGTATCACAGGGGAGAGCAGTTTGATTCCTTTCTCAGCTCAAACACACACAAAACACACTTTCTGAAACTTTATAATCTGTAGAGTTTGAGTGTTTTAAGCAAACCCACTTGGGGAAGAAAGATTCTAGCCCCCCTTGTCGAATCCACAAAGCCACAAATCCTTACAACACCACCTTCAGATGTTGTGTCTACTGGAGGGTGGTCCCATGCAGTCTAGGTTTTCTTTTTTTTACGCCTTTTCTGACCACATGCTTTCCAGCAGGCCTCTTTCCCAGGCCTGACCCCGGTTTATTTGTTCAGACTGGCCCTTAGATCAGGACCAATAACCTTATTAATGCATCACAAAACAGAACAGCAAAGGGCATATTTTGGATCAAAGAAAGTGGCCTGTCACATGTCCTATTGAAAGCAAAGAATGTACCTTATGGCTAAAATATTATCATCTAACAATGCGAGACGGAACTCCTACATTGCACTACAGACCCAAATATAACAGAAAGATGGTTTAGATAAGAAATTCAGTCAGTGGATGTAAGATCTGATGAATTCTGAAATGGGGCAATATTGTTGAGCTTTTTAACATTGCTTCTGTTGTTTTATCATTATCTACAACATTCTCTGGCATGTACATGCAGTCACCTGTCTTTATTTGAAGTAATACTCCACAAAGAACCTCTTGTTCGCTCATCTGCCATTCATCGGTTGTGCAATAGTCATGACATTCTTATATGTAAACTGGTGGCACACAGTTGAACCTGAAAGTGATAGCTGAGTTAAATGCCCACATCTTGAAATCTCCCTTAAGTTGAGTAAAAAGTGAATGATTTGTGATCTTTTTTAGACTTGAGTGAGTCAATGCACATTTTTCTTTTTTTTTTAACTCTACAGCAAAGACTGACCTGGAAACGCAGGAAAAGCAGCTAGCTGACACCCACAGGATGTAAGACATTATTATTTTGTCATAGTTTTCCTATGCTCACTTTTAAAAATACTGTACTTTTGCCATTGTAATTTGCTTGCATTGGGTATTTCCTCAATTCTCAAACATTGATCAAAGCTACAGTATAAATCACATGATCAAAGGGTAATGGAAATCATTGCAGTTGTGAATATAAATGCTTAATGCATCAGAACCTATTTTTTTACTACTTCAATATTTATGCTTCCTGATTCTTTTAGTTTCGTAGAAGGTGCAGGCCATCCTGCCAGGCCTTCAGCTCAGTTGAGGCCCCTGTGTGCGTTGTCTGCATTGTTTATCTAAGTGGAGCAAGAGTAGACAGCTGTGGCTCCAGGCTTCTGTTTCTGCTGGCTAGGAATGTGTTCCTATAGCACACTCCAAACAAAGACAGACCAACCTGTCTGTTATATTGATCCATTGCAAATCGCTGCCACATTTAACACTAGAACATGTGTCATGCACTTGTATATACATGTTGTCTTTTGGTAGATGAATCTTGTTCTCCTTGTAATACACTTTCACTTTACCAATTACAGTATGAGCAGGTTTTGAATCCAAAATAGCAGGACAGAAGGCAAGTGAATTCTGTAACAGTAGTAAACAATTTCTGTTTAAGTCATGGACACTGTGTTTCCTATGAAAATTGGCTTTTCAAGTTTACCAGAGTTTGAAAGCGACAATCATTTGTTTGAACTTAATTTTGCTGTCAAGTCAGTTCAACTGCATTATTCCAGAAACATATTTTCCGCTTAGGATTTTGTACTGCTCTGCAATATTTCACAACACTTTGTTGTTGTAATGGCTTGGTCTTGAAGTTATACTTTTGTTTTGTTTTTTCTTGTCTTTAGCTTTTTGGAGCTGAGTGTGTCCTTCTCTGTAAAACCCAAGGCAGGAGAGAAAGAAGTCTCTCCCAACACATTATTTTCTATTTGGCACGAGTTTTCTTCAGATTTTAAGGAACAGTGGAAGAAGCAGAACAAGCTACTATTACAGGAACGGTAAGAAGGTTTTAATGTATTCATCTATTAATACCCTTTAAGCTTCTTCATACGATCTTACACAGATAGATAGATAGATAGATAGATAGATAGATAGATAGATAGATAGATAGATAGATAGATAGATAGATAGATAGATAGATAGATAGATAGATAGATAGATAGATAGATAGATAGATAGATAGATAGATAGATAGATAGCACCACAGACCAAGCAAAAAACAGCAGGTCAGGGATCGAATTGGAAACAGCCGTTATGGTAAGTTTAAAGCTGGGTTAAATTATACAATTACTTCTGTAGCTATCGACATCTGGCAGAGTTCTGATCACTGAAGACTTTGGTCTAAAAACCCATGTAGTTCTGAATAGCACAAGGTCATCCACACCTTACAACATTTGCAGATGCTCAGACGTAACAGAGTCAAAAATGTGCCAGTGAATAAAAGTAGTTATTCACCTCAGAGCTAAAATGCTTGCTCATTTATTACTTCCTTTTTTGGCACCAAGATGACATCAAGAGGGATAAAATTTGAGTACTGCAGTATGTAACCTACTTAGTTCATCCATCATCCATCTTCAAACCTCTCAAGGTGAAGCTATCCACCAAAGCTTCCAAATTTAACAAGGAAACAAACAAGCTGCAAGCTTGAGTTAAAGGTACAATAGTACCTTTAAAAAAGTACAGTATTACCTTTTACTGAGTGTTGCAATGATACTGGTATCGGGCAGGGCCCTGTTACTGCATTAAAATGGTGGTACCGTTATCGACGAGTACCAAAAAATAGGGCACCGATACCATTTTGAGAGACAAAAGTTTATTCAACTATTGTCACCCATTCGTGGTAGGCAATAAAAAGTTCTATTGGATTCACTTTGTATTAGTTTTTTTCCTGCTTCACAAAGGTAGGCAGCAGCTTGACAAAGCTATGATGACAATTATTTTACATCCAAGTAGTATGCAGTTCTTCATATATACAGGTGCTGGTCATAAAATTAGAATATCATGAAAAAGTAGATTGATTTCAGTAATTCCATTTAAAAAGTGAAACTTGTATATTATATTCATACATTACATACAAACTCATATATTTCAGATGTTTATTTTGTTTAATTTTGATGATTACAAATGACAACAAATGAAAATCTCAAATTCATCATATCAGAAAATTAGAATATTGTGAAAAGGTTCAAAATTGATGGCCCCTGCTGCCACACTCTAATCAGCTAATTAACTCAAACCACCTGCAAAAGCCTTTAAATGGTCTTTCAGTCTAGTTCTATAGGCTACACAATCATGGGGAAGACTGCTGACTTGACAGTTGTCCAAAAGACGACCATCGACACCTTGCACAAGGAGGGCAAGACACAAAAGGTCATCGCTAAAGAGGCTGGCTGTTCACAGAGCTCAGTGTCCAAGCACATTAATAGAGGGGCGAAGGGAAGGAAAAGATGTGGTCGAAAAAAGTGTACAAGCAAGAGAGATAACCGCACCCTGGAGAGGATTGTGAAACAAAACCCCTTCAAAAATGTGGGGGAGATTCACAAAGAGTGGACTGCAGCTGGAGTGAGTGCTTCAAGAACCACCACACACAGACGTATGAAAGACATGGGTTTCTGCTGTCGCATTCCTTGTGTCAAGCCACTCTTGAACCACAGACAGCGTCAGAAGCGTCTTGCCTGGGCTAAAGAGAAACAGGACTGGACTGCTGGTGAGTGGTCCAAAGTCATGTTCTCTGATGAAAGTAAATTTTGCATTTCCTTTGGAAATCAAGGTCCCAGAGTCTGGAGGAAAAGAAGAGAGGCACTTCATCCACGTTGCTTGAAGTCCAGTGTAAAGTTTCCACAGTCAGTGATGGTTTGGGGTGCCATGTCATCTGCTGGTGTTGGTCCATTGTGTTTTCTGAGGTCCAGGGTCAACGCAGCCACATACCAGGAAGTTTTAGAGCACTTCATGCTTCCTGCAGCTGACCAACTTTTTGGAGATGCAGATTTCATTTTCCAACAGGACTTGGCACCTGCACACAGTGCCAAAGCTACCAGTACCTGGTTGAAGGACCATGGTATCCCTGTTCTTAATTGGCCAGCAAACTCTCCTGACCTTAACCCCATAGAAAATCTATGGGGTATTGTGAAGAAGAAGATGCAATACACCAGACCCAACAATTCAGAAGAGCTAAAAGCCACTATTAGAGCAACCTGGGCTATCATAACACCTGAGCAGTGCCACAGACTGATCGACTCCATGCCACGCCGCATTGCTGCAGTAATACAGGCCAAAGGAGGCCCAACTAAATACTGAGTGCTGTACATGCTCATACTTTTCATGTTCATACTTTTCAGTTGGCCAACATTTCTATAAATCCTTTGTTTTTATTGGTCTTCAGTAATATTCTAATTTTCTGATATGATGAATTTGAGATTTTCATTTGTTGTCATTTGTAATCATCAAAATTAAACAAAATAAACATCTGAAATATATGAGTTTGTATGTAATGTATGAATATAATATACAAGTTTCACTTTTTAAATGGAATTACTGAAATCAATCTACTTTTTCAAGATATTCTAATTTTATGACCAGCACCTGTACACACACATACATCAATTTCAAACAGATGGTATCTGTATCGGGTATTGTTATCATGGCCAAAAAATGACATTGCCGCAACACTAATAATTATAGGGACTTACTGGTGTAAATGGTATATATAATCTATATATATGTTATTTGTTATTACCTATGAACTGAAAATCTCAATCTTTGTTTGCCTTGACTTAGAAATTGCTATTTATGATTACACTGGAGTAGGTTTGGATTCGTGGAGGACGACATCTTGTCAGCACAAAGCTGACAAACTAGTGACTGTATATACAATCCTACACAGAAATACTATTTTTATAAAATAATATTCATAAAATTAACCATGTTAACTAGACTTACACCAACCCGGGTATTATGAAGATGACCGCTTTAAATCACCCAATGTTGCATTTTTGTTTTGTTTTTCTGAGCGGACTCGCATCTTTTTCCTGCCCTCGGTCCATGTTTATTTTGGTCAGAGTGCCCAATACAGAGAAAAGAATCACCTGGACAACAGAGGTAAGGGGAGTCAGCGTTCCTGAGCTCAGGCAGGAGCAGCAGAGAATCAGTCTGAGAACAGCAGTAGAGAGAGAGCTCCATAACCAGGATGAGCCGGCCAGCTATGCCGTCCTCTGGAGCTAATGAACCTCAGCAGCAAAGCGGGATCAGGAGCACGGTGGCAGCTGGGAGTGGCCTGCTGGGAAACAGCACTTTTGGCCCAAAAGAGGCTACAGCAGGTCTGGACTAATTGTGGAGGATCAAAGCAGAATGGCAGAAGATCGGATTAATCCGGTGCGCAATGAGAAGTAGGGGACATAGGTTGTGGAGTCACATCGAAGGAGCCGCCAGGGAGACAGAGCAGAAAGAAACGACAGCAGGCCAAGGCTAGCATCTAGAGGCTAACTTCTGGACATGGGCGGTGAGCCACTGATCACGAGGAGGTGTGCAGCTGGAGTGAGAGGTGGAGCAAGATGAGAGAAGCAGCAGCTGGTCTATCTCTGTGCTGGAGGTCGGAAACAAAACGATCTTTCTGCGGCTAAATTAAAACAGCTTTTTTAAAAGCTTGATGCTGCGGTCTAATGTAGGTGTAACGCAAAGATGGCAAAGCTTTTTGTACGTTAACAGCCTCTGTATTTTTGGAGTGGAGGGGGTGATGCTGCTGCAGTGAGACCATTAGATGTCGCTGAAATTTACACTTTGTAGATTTAAGCACATCTTTTAACTGTTTGACAAGAGTGATGAAAAGAATAATTATAAATACAACACACTCCTGAAAGATAAACTTTAAGAGGCTAGAAAACACCAAAGAGTGGACCATTTTCTTTTAACAGTATATAATTGTCAATGTATATTTAAATTACAGATTCTTATGTAGCTTTAAAAGCTGATCACATAAAAGGTTTCTAAACTCTGTAAGCTTATGATGGAAAAACAAAAACAAACAAAAAAAAAATATATATATATAAGGCATATGAATACTTTTGCATAGCACTCCAGAAATGCATTTCCCCCCCCCCCAAAATCTAGAGCTAATTATCATTTTAAATTTATTTGGCTTTAGCCTGTCATTATAGATTCAACTTTTTTGTACCATTCTATTCTTCTTATCTTCAGCCTTTTCTTTAATAACTTGCAGCCCATCTCGTGCTGAGTAAAGATAATATCAGATTCATTCAAATTCATAAGGAGAAAAAGAGCCTAAGTGACCATAATCATTGTGGTCACTCCAAAACAAATGCACCTATGCACCTTCCAGTTGGCCTCCAGTGGTTTGATGGATATAAAGATGTTGTTGCTTAAGTCAACAAACAGTAAATCGGTCCATTATTTTCAATAAAGATTAAATTGTGATAACGCTTAAAAGAGGAGTCGAATGACATGGGGCGCTGCTTTTTCAGAAGGAAAGAATTAAAACAAATTTGAAAGCATTAACTTTTTGCTGTTTGCCACAGGCTATCAACCCAGTTCTCCTTTTGCTGGTTTATATGCTTACATTTTCTCTGCTGCTTTGTAATGCTGGAACTAAGACATCTTGACAAACCATGTTTTTTACTTTGAAACCTAACATGACAACAAGCTGAATTTTCTGATAATAAGCTGTGTGAATGCATGTGTCCTTAAAGTTATCTGCACTTGATGTTATTGTGAATCAGCCTTCACTGCTTGTATGTTTCAGGGTGAAAAAGGCAGAGGAGAGCTTCAAACAGGCCAGGCAGAAGGCCACCTATAACGTTACAACCAAAAACGCAACTGGAATAGTATGTTAGGCTTATTTTTTCCACCTTTCTGCTCTTTCTTTCCATTATCTCACCTGAAAGACTGTTGCCTACAAATGTCCTTCTGTATGTGGAATTTGAAGGTTATTAAATGTTAATAACAAAGTCCTGTTTTTTGTATTTCACAGAAAGCAAAGCTGCGTAAGAAGATCTGAATTAAGAAAAAGGATAATCATCTCGAAGATATTTGCACTGACAAGATCTGGCTTCAGAAGTTTAAAAAATGAGTTTGTCTGCAAACACCTACATTGTTTTAGAGATGTCTTCATAGAACATTTTCTGATCAAAATGAAAAAAGAAAAACAATTCCATGGGCTTAATTATAAAATGTCCATTTTTAATACATTTTTTTAAACTTTGGTATAATTGTCTTCCCACTTTTGTGTGAAATTTTCCTGCCATATGTGTATACAGAAAATGCATCATGGTGTGGTGAAAAGCAAAAAATCTCGATTTCTTTAAAAAAAAAAAAAAGTGCCTTGGATTTAGTTCCCACATGTGTCAGAACTGGTGAGGGTTTAAAATGTTTATAAATAGCACCTCCTTTACTCCATTTCTTGTTAAAAGTCATATATCCACATGGTATGTTGTATTTTTTCCTGTTAAACAGCATTTCTTTTATTAATTATTATTTTGAGTGCAATCCTATGCATGTAATTTACCTTTCCCATGTTTTCAGAGAAAATTCCTTTACATAACCAGCATTAGGATCATGATGAGATTCTTTTTATAAGCAATGCCAGAATTGTTTTAAATAACAATGCATATAAAAGGTAATATTTATTGAATAAAACCAAATATATACATTTGCATTGGAAATATTGATTATTTAACATAGTCCATAGACAATTGCATGCACTCTAAAGTGACTTTTTATATGAAATAGATTTAATATATTTTAAACAAATATACTTACACACATACATATAATAATATATTGTTTATATACCATGGAACCAATATTCCACATGCTGCAGTCCATTTTGTTCAACCTAGAACCAAGTTTTGAGTCTGCATGACTTGAAGCCACACATATAATCTGTTGGGTTAAAACTCATGAGACGTAATGGTGGGACTGAACCCTAGGGAAAATCGGTGATGGAACTGTCCATTCATCTGTAGTAAAATAACTTATTTGCACTTTTCAGAAAATACAATTTTAATGACACAATGGTCAGCATGTTTATCATGTGTCCAATAAGCTTGTATACTTTCAAAAGATATCTCCCCTTCATTTAAAATGTGTTACAACTGGGAAATGAAGTATGGTCCTCACTACGTCCATACTGCTGTATTATCATCATCACTTGGACTGTCTAACAGCTGTTCTACATTCAGTTTTAATGGAACGAACCATTTTTAGTACAGCTTGATAATAATGGACAGTCGTCTGCCCTGAGTTTGGCAATGAATCTGACAGCAAAAAATACAGATCTTTTAAGGCAGTCCTTTACAGTTTCCCATGACTGCTTACATCCACAGACATGCAGCGGCATTGTTTGACTCTCTGCACTTTGCGATGTCTGAAGGGGGGCTGCAGATCTGGGCAGTCTAACTGCACTGTGAGTTGTTTGATACTATGTGGTCTGCAAAAGGAGCAGGACTGGAAGGGCTCTTGGCCTTTATTGTGACCCTTTCTTCCAGAGCCTGAGTTTTGGCCTCGATTTTGTCCATGACCCAAACTGGGACCCAAATGGCGAGGAATGTAGAAGGAGTTGCACTGGCCGTAGCAGAAGTGGTTGACCACAGTGCGGCTACGGCAACCCTCTTCACTGATTGTTTGGCGAAGGGGCTGAGTTTTGCACCAGTCTCTTCGAAGGTAACGTCGCTCAGTCACAACTAGGGCCTCTCGGCTGGAGGACAGGACTTCTGGTTTCTGCTGCAAAAGTCTGTGGGGGTGGTCTGCAGACAGGTTTCCTTTAGTCTTGTGTGGTGACGGTATTGAGCCTTGGGGACGGAGCTTTCTGGCCTCTGCAGTGATGCAGAAGAAGCCAGCAAGGAAGATGGGGATGGTGATTCTCCACAGCATTCTGCAAAAAGGGAGAAATTTAACAATGAAATGTAGCAGGAGAAAAAAGAAATTTCTATATGTATTAAAAGGATTAACTCTTGATTCCGCATAAATTTAGGTTAGCTGATTACGCTAACCCTAATTACGGAGGTTAAATCATCATTCAAATCATCATAGGGACTCAGACATTATGACCTGGGGCCATAATTAACCTGGCCCACATGCGTTTTATTATGGGTTGCTGCTAAGTACACAAGGCGAAATACTGGACTGACCAGAAAGATTGAAGACGGAGATGATCAAACTCACTTGATTCTAATCGGTAAATTGAAGTTAAATATATTATATATTATATATGTATATATAATATTAATAATATTAAAATACATGTGTTGAGCCTGTAGTCTGAGCTCTGACCAAGATTAGACAATTTTTATTAATATGATGGCACCATTTACCCTGGACATCAAGAAAACACTGTACAAGAAGAAAAAACGGAGAAATTAAGGCAATGCCTATTTTTTAGGAGTTGGGGTGGTGATGATCAACAATCGCAACCTATTTAACTTAAATAAATCAGATACGATTATTGAGTCGTTTAGAGTAGAATCAATAAAATAAACCAAGGTAACACCTGTATCTGAGAGGGACCAAGATCATAGTAGTCTCCTGCCATCCTAAAATAAGTACAATCTCACAATGTCATTTTGTTAGCCTGAACATTTCTGCCATATCTACAGAGTAAAAAAAAAAAAAAACTTGATTTCGGTGTATGATGCAAAAAAAATTACATGCCTGTAAAAAAACTTTACAACTTGAGGTATAAGTGCAGCATTACTGAAAAATTGTAAACTATACTGCAGAAAAATTTCAACCATTTTATTTAACCTCCAACTCTCTTTTAGGTTGTTATTCTAGCTGCAAATGCTTTGCATGTTCTACCTAATTGTTTCACTCAAGATTATTGGTTATGTACCAGCCCTGACCTTCATTTCATGCATAAATCAAAACTTAGTTCTGTTTAAATAGCCCTTCATTATAACAAGAGGGCAACTAATTAAAGGTATGTTAAACATTGTTTTTATAAATGCCATGACATTTTTAAGAGTAGAGTTTTAAGATGGTATTATTCTATTTCTGTCTATGGGCCCTTCTGAACTTGGCACTGCTGCTCACAAAAGCTTTCTCCTGCTAACTAAAGGTTGCAGGTTTGCTTTAAGCTTAGTTTCTTTATAACCGATTTCTCCATGTTGCCCACCAGAGAGTATCATCGTATGAAGGCATCATTATTTATGTGAGCGAGTAAATGTAGCCCTAATGTCATAGCACTCTTGAGTAATTGTAATTACCAGAAAAGCACTATAATGTAGACTTAACTGTAGTTTCCTTTACTTTTAGTTTTTTGGTCTCATTGTAATCAACTCTTAGTTTTTTTCCTTAGTAGTACAGTAAAACAATACTGTACACCTAAGGAAAAAACTAAGTTACGTTCTCAATGTAAGATATTAACAGCTCATTTATAACAGAGCCTCACTTGAAAACTGAAATAAACTTTTCATTCAAGCTCTGTTTGTAAAGAAGTATGAGATAAACACTTATTTACCGAATATATTTGGAGGTTTGGGGGCTTAAAGTTCTCCCACTTTTTGCAGTCCTGCCCTGCAGGCATCATTCAGAAAATGAATCCATCACCATGGCCCCCATTTGTCAGCATCTCTGTGTCATTACTTCTATTTGCTTTCCTCTCGGCTTTGCAACTCTTACCAAAATAAACAAAACCTGGCCATCAAAGGATACACTTAAACACTCATAATGAGAAGGGGAAGTTGATTTTATTGGTCCCGTCGCTGAGTAAAATAATTAGGCCTTTGCTTACTTTACTCATGAACTATGCCGCAGATATGTAAACAGGCGTTAGAGAAGCCCATCTGCATGTTATTAGAGGAAGACTTGAAGGATTGTACAGTTTCCCTATGGGAGTCCACTCTTTTTTACTCTTTGGTGATATACAGTGGAGAAACCTGAACTAAGATTGACCTATGGTCTCCATAAATGCCACTATGTATCATACTAGGGCCTGATCTGGAAAAATTATCTCTCTGCCATTCGGGATTGAGTATCCGCCTTTGTGCGCGCTGTCAGTATTTGTGCCAGCACATTTTTGACCATCACTCAAGCATCTTTTCAGCAGATGTTGCTCTTGACAAGCATTGCATGACATCAAATCAGAATTTCTGATGTGGAACCAAACTGCCTCAAGGACATTGGCGGCTGCTGCTCCTCACAAACTCTGCTTTGCTGTGCAAATTCTTATGCCCGCCTTTCTTGGACCTGCATCTTAGTCCGAATTATTTTATCACAATCCGCTTTGGTTCTCAAGGCTTTGTTTGTTTTGCTCTTGATCTTCAGGTAATAGCAGCTTGAAAATGGAAGTCTTTAACATTCCATGCAGTATTTTCCATAAGCTACAAAGCAGCTGTTTGGTTATATCTTTCGGAGATGTTACATGAATATTGAGGTTTTCTTTTTCCCTTAGGATATCAAACTCAAATACCAGTGAAGAGTTTCAGTTAATTTAAGGGCAAACTCAACTGTTGGTTACTCTCATCACCCAATGTATTAAGGAGTCTTGGCCTCCTTTTTCTTAGTTTTTTCTCTCCTCAGTTTTTCTCGCAGTGATCCACCTCCTTTTTACAGAAGTCTTATTTGACAAATCTCCATATACCTCTTCACTGATGACTGTCAGTTTAAATACAGCAACTCCTCTGGCCAGGGACCAATATCTGCATGCACTCTGTTTTCTCTCTTCCTGTCCTCTTAAAGAGATACCCTGTTACTTTTGGACTATCCAAATAACTTCAGAAAAAACTGAGGAGTGACTAAGGAGTGCATTAACCATTTACAAAGAAGATGATGAATGAAAAGTACAGTTACTGGCTCAGCTTCCTTTCTACTCTCAAACCTATTTGGAGGACAGCAGATACTGGCTCTGTATCCTCATCATTCTCTCTAAAAATAGAAATAGGCATTTTAGGCTATGGGGATTCAGAAACTATTGGGGAACATACGATTCTCCAGGAAATCAAACCAAAAACTCTCGGGTGACATGGATGTTGCAAGACCCGGCTTTCCATAAGCAGCCTGCCTTTACATTCCGCCTTGACGCTGGCCATCAAATGGGCCTCGAGACAGAAGGAGACTGTGGTTTAGAGTGTTAATCTTTAGACAAAACTAAGCAGGGCCTTTTTTGTCTGCTAAATGCTAATATTGTGCACAAACACAGCTTTATGTTTTACCAGAACCACAAATTCTTTGGATTTGCTTCACTGAACTGTGGCAGACCTTGGTTCCAAAATTCAACCCTCTAATGAAATTACAAATACCAGAGAGACTGTTGAGCTCTGCACAAACCTTCATTTTTTTTTTTTTAAACATCTATTATAAGGGGGCACATGCTGTTTTA